CCAATGGGCGAGACATTTAACCTAATCGTCTTCAATTCCATACACAAGTCAGACTAAATGTCGTATACCGGTTGTGTGTACTTGTTTTCAAAATTTCACGTTTTGGTTGGTAAAAATGTTACTTCGACAAAGAATCATTTTCGAAATTCCACGTTTTGATTGATAAAAATGTTACTTTAACAAAGGATCTGAAATTCAGGTATATTTTGGTGCGCCACAAGGATCTGTACTTGGGTCGGTATTTTTTGACAGCTTTGTAAATGAACTTTTATTTGTTGATTGCCATTAAAAATTCAGATATTGGCTAGAGAATACTGATCAAAAAAAGCTAGAAAATTAATTGTCAGCGAATAAGTAAAAACTGCACTTTAATATTTTAAAAATTCCTTTGTGTTTAAAAATAACTAACAATACATATATTTATTCGATTGAAGGATGTCGATAATAAAAATAGAACTCGTATTATACAATAACTGTCATTATTTGCCATTTGATTATATTTTTAAAATGAAATGGGTATTATCTTTAAGTGGCATTTAACAATTGAGAAACGCATTAACAGAACACAAATTTTATGGGAAACAATCACTGGTTTGATTACAAAAGCACAACGTTTCGACAAGTATCCTCTATTAGTATAGCGCCACAAAGGTATAACCGCAGTTGGTATTAAAGATCAAACGCGGATCGACTTCTTTTTGGGAAGGTAAAAATATCTACAAATAACGTTAAAAATGAGAAGAAAAATCGATTATTGATGATATGAAACAATCTGGTTACGTTCAACAAGACATCAAAATTACAAAGAAACAAGTCGATAGGTTAACGATTAATTCTCATCAAACGCTTGTTACATGGATGCATTATGCACGATTGTCGCCTTATTTTATAGTAAAATACTGTTTAATAGGGGTGTTGAGAAGGTGTATTGAGGACTATTTCTACTACATTAGCTCAGTTGAAAACGTGTAAGCTTTGTGAAGTTAAATCATCGGTACATCAAGGACTTGCTTATAACACGCTTTATACCTCATTTCCTTTTTTACATAAGATTTAAAGTAAATCTTGACACAAGAAATTATTAAATCTCTTTGACGAATCAGGATTTAAAAGTAAAAAAAAATATATTTGGAATAATTATGAAGCTCTGAGTATTCATGCATACTATGGACTTGCCCATAACATGGTTTATGCCTCATTCCTCTATTTGGAATAATTATGAAGCACTGGGTATTTATGTATACCACGGACTTGCTCATAACACGGTTTATGCCTCATTCCTCTTTTAGAGTAAATCTTAACACGATAAATTATAAAACCCCTTTGACGGATTTGGATTTAAAAGTAAAAAAAAAAAATATTAATTATTTCAATTAATCCTGGTAACATTTCGGAAAAAAAAGATAAATTTAAATTTTGATATTGTACAATGATTGCAGATTTATTGATCATCATCATATCGTCATATTTATCATCGTCATAAATAGTCATTTATTAATTTTCATAATGAATATAATTTTTTATAAAATAGATAAATTGGCTTTCCATGCTTTTGTTGTTAAACTCCCTTAAACGTGTATTGGGGGGGGGGGGGTGGAGTAGTGCGTGCGCGTTTGATCATATGGTCTGTCATTGAGTCAACTGGTGTGGTTTCGAGTCCCACGTTGTACATGACAAGGAGTAGGGTCGCCTGTCAAACTTCGTGGGTTTTATCCGGGTCCTCCGGTTTCCTCCCATTGCTAAAGACCCCTACGCCCAAGCGTATTACTGCAATATAAAATCGAACCATATTTTAGTCCTAAATGACCTGGTTTGTCTCGAGTGGACTTTAACCCCCCATTTCTCTCTCTATCTTTAAACGTTTATTAACCACCTTGAGAAAATAGTAATTCGTCATTGGTTAATATTGTTGGTGTAATTCCCCTATTGTAAATACATGTATATTTTTAATCCTGGAAGCTACATGAACATGCTTCATTACGGAAATTTTACGATATATAAATAAGAGTATCAAACCCATGAATGAGGGGGTATATAAATCATTCTAGCGTGATTATGTCGTATTTCACGGATATTATACCTAGCTTGCCAACAATCAATTCAAACGGAAGAATCTTTTCTTGGATATAGAATCATGTGCGTTGACATAAAGTATCTACATAAAACATCCCGGGGCACCTAGATTACTTGTGATACACTTGATGTATTACTTCTGGTTTATCGTTATTCATAAAGAAAACTCCCAAGACAAGCTTTGTGGGTGATATTACTGAAAATTTTGAAGAATTACGCGGATTAAATTTACTTTTCACGAGAAATAAAGTAATAAAGTTTAATTATAGGCATTGATCTATGTGTGTTCGCACATTTTTCAAGGCCCATTAACAATTTTACGGAACGATTCTTTTTCTTCATCGGTAACTTCACCTGAATGGCAAAAAGACCAAGGGCTAAGAAGGGAACCCTGTATAATCAAGCAACCCCCGTGTAACTGATCCTCACGATCAAGCTTCTTCTTGTTCTCGGTAAATTTTCTGAACGTATTTTTTGTAAAACTATAATTATCATCATGCCGCTCAGTTTGTTTAGAATTATTCTTTATGAAATATCAAACCAAGATAAATATCTAAAGGGTACTGGGTGGTACTGACTGGGCTAATGAAGACGGGCATACGCCATACAGTGCGCTATGAGGGGAAATATTTCCCAGGCAGCGGCGCTACGACAAACTCATATAATGAATTCTAAGTTGCAATGGTTCTTTTACGTACTTGCCCATTCTGATTAAAACAATGATCCTATTTTGTTTCGTTTTTTATAGGTCAAAATTTCGTTATGTAGTGTAGGCCATCGAAAGTATAAAAAAAACGAAACGAAATATAGATCTGTATTTTAATCAGATAGATGGTTGCCTATAACCAAAAAGATAGATATTGGTATATTACTGTATAAAGAATATATTTTTTGGATTTATTTTACAATCAGACTATTTAAAAATTCAAAATTAATTTTAAATAATAATATAAATTGAAACTATTGTTCTATTTTGTAGTGCATTTTATAGATTTTCTTTTTCTATTGTCGCAATTGGATAACATAAATAAAATTGATACAGTTGATCTTGTTGGTAGATTTTAGTTTCCGTTTTTCCTGTATTGAAACTATTGTTCATTTTTATAGAACATATAGAAATTAGTTTTTGTTTTTTCAGTATCACAATTAATTTCAGATTAACATAAATAATAATGATAGTATTGTTCTTTATTGTAGTATACTGCATTTAGATTTCCGTCAGTAACGGCGAGTGGCTATCAAATACTTTCGGTGATAAGCATTTGTCAAACGGAGCCCTTGATTTTACATAAATATGAATTATGAACTCTTTGTGTTTAACAAATTTGAGATCTCGATAATTCTTTGGACACTAAAATCAAGACAACAACATTTTTTTGCTCTAAAAAGTAGTACGAATCCTGCACATTGGATATACGTAACTGTTCATGCATCTTGTTTGCTTTTTAGAGAAAAGAAAACAGCCCCAAATTCCAAATAACACACTATGTATGGATAACAATTACTATGGTTTATTTCACTGCGACGTTTCAACAAGATTTCACAAGTCGTTATCAGGCATATAACACAAAACGTCGCAGTGAAATAAACCATAGTAATTGTTATCTATAAATAGTGTGTTATTTGATTATTACTAAATGCCATTCAAAGAATAGAATAACCCCAAATTCCATTTTATTTCATCGTGTATTTGCCTCCGATGAAAAATATGGCACAATGGACAAAGAGTTAGGAATCAGACTATATCAATAATAATAAGCAACGGAAACGTTAATATTTACAATCTTAGAAACGACTTTTCATTGAATTGTAAAACGAGCCTATGTGATCATGATAAGATATTAAATGGGTGGATAAATGCTTTAAAAGATAATTATTTCATAATTGACCTTCCGATATTCTCCATCAAAAATGGACTTCAAAATACAGGAAATAGACAGGTTAACTCTCAATTTCCTTACACTAACATACTGGGTTTTACCTTTGTTCACAGCTAGCCTAGTCGGATAATAATCAAGAATAATCTCGACAACATTAAATGAATTGTAAAATGAATTTTGCAATAACCATAATCCTTCAGATACACAAATAGGGGCAACGATGACTGGTACTTATTTAAGCGACACTCGTACTTTTATGAAATATTAAAAGTCGTATGTATGAATATCAAGCTCATAAGTAGACTGCAATAAAATACCTCATTGAAAATTGATGAATGGTAAATATTTTAATTTTAATATATGGACATTTGCAAACACAGAGAAGTCCAAGATCGCTGATGCACGGCATTTGCTTTAGTACGCGCGGTACATAAAACATTTTAATATTTTCAGAAAACTCTATGAATATTAATATTTTCAGAAGATTCTATGAAAAAATAATATGAAAGCATATAGATAAGTCCTGGTGTACGGCCCTTGCTTTAGTACGTGCGGTACATAAAGAATATTAATATTTTCAGAAGATTATGTGAAAAAATAATATGAAAGCATAATAGACAAGTCCTAATGTACGGCCCTTGCTTTAGTACGTGCGGTACATAAAGCATATTAATATTTTCAGAAGATTCTGTGAAGAAATAATATGAAAGCATAGATGAGTCCAAGATCGCTGATGTACGGCCGTTGCTTTAGTACGCGCGGTACATAAAGCATATTAATATTTTCAGAAAACTCTATGAAAAAAATAATATGAAAACATAGCTGAGTCCAAGATTGTTGATGTACGGCCTTTGCTTTAGTACGTGCGGTACATAAAGCATATTAATATTTTCAGAAGATTCTGTGAAAAAAATAATATGAAAGCTAATTATATTTAAAATAGAAATTTTATTCCTATCATAATTAATAATATCATATATTTGGCAAGAATATTTCACAATATTTACAAATAAAAGTAGAAAAGTATAAAATTAAAAGGCACCGAAAATATTTGTTTGGATTTTTTTTTTCTCCAGATAATTAACAATAATAGCAAACAATTCTAGCTACCTCTTTCACTTTATCCAGTTAAAAAAATTATAAATAGTTTGTGTTCTTATTCCACACATTAATAGTCACTTTAATAAACAAAGTTATATTCGTTTTTAGTTTGTGAACAATTGAAAAATCAACGGGGACTGTAACAATTCACATAGAGTTATTAGAGAGTCTTTTACCACTCTTGAACATTAACAGATGGAAAAACAGTTCATTTTCGTATTAAGGCATGACTTGGCATCGGATGTAGATGAGGAAATTTGTGTGGATAATGAGGTGCATAGGTAGGTCGTATTGTTGAACCGTTGCACTGACTGCAGGCACATGGTGCAGGCCATCTAGTTAACATGTGGTTTCTGTCATAATGTACGGGAGATGGTGAGGTTGTTGGTGAGTCCTTGGAGGAAACAGGAGACATAGCAGATATATCATGAGGAGTTAGTCCATTAGCACTGGTGATGGCATGAGACAACGTCGGTAACCCAGCGACCACTGGTAATTGAGCATGTGGATGATGTTGAACGTGTGTCACTGGAGTGTTCGCACGTGTTGGATGATGAGCGTACACATCACTAACAAGCTTTTTCATTTCCTCTAACGAACTACTCAACATTAGAATATAGTTCTTCGCTAACAGTAAAGTGGCAATTTTTGAAAGTTTTCTCACTGAAGGTCCATTAGCATAAGGCATCACTTCCCTGAGTCCGTCTAAAGCCGTGTTTAAATCATGCATTCTTCTTCGTTCGCGACCGTTCACTTTCAATCGCAAAAGTTGTAAATCTTCCTCACTTAGACTTTCTTCTCCCGTAGCTCTTCTTTTAGAAAGACATTTTCGTTTCGCAGGAGATGATCTCCCTCTGGAACTACAATCAGAATCGGTTCCATCAACTTTAATAGTTCTCTCTCCGTCACTGAAACAATCTTGATCCGAATTACTTTTACTGGTATCCATTATCTGGGAAACTGTGGAATCTTTGTCTTGGAACAACTGTCAAAAGTGAGGTTAACTGTCATTTAACTGAAGCAAAGCTATGGCTCACTACTGGCTTCTAAAACATTTGCTCTTCAATATTGTACTGCTGTTAGTTCAAGCTTTCTAAACTTTCGTGGTTATTGATACAAGCCTCTTTATACGGTGACAATTCTTAAGCAGGGGACGTCTTATGTCTGTCAACTTAGAGGGCGGGTCCCGTCTTTTGCACGGCTTAAGGACCCCCACTGAGCTCGACCAATCGTCCACGATTCTTTTCCAGCTGTTGAGGGGAAAAACTCTTCTAAACAATGCGTTTCAGGCGTCAACTAATGAGATTGTCGTTTGATACAACACGTTTAGCTAAACGAAAGAATTAACAGTGCAAAACGTCAAGACATCAAGGAGAAATTCGATCACCACTCAATCATTTAACCATGTAAAAACACTTATATATCATTTAGATATTTTACAAACAGAAACTACTACAAAAGTTTCAAACAAATACTTTGGGAATGAATCATGATCAGAAATTATATTTTATTTATTAATATATACCTTTTTTTAAAATTTGGAAAGAAACTTTAACCGTGCTGAGAAAAGGGTAGCCTATTTTATTCATTTGAAACGGTTCATAGTAAAATGTAAATTTTTCGAATCAGTTAAATGAATATCGGAAGCTTGATGTTTGTATAAATTAGAGAGCTTAAACATGGGCCTTATAAGCTTGCACGAAAACATAAATAAATATTATGCTTGGTTTAATTTCGTCAATTTTGTATATTAACATTTACACGTAATTACAGAAAAGTAATTTCTCTGAAATAAAATAAAATTATAGTTGGGCCTATTTATTTTTCATACAATACATCTTTGTTTTTCTCGACATCACATATTCCGTAAAGCTGAAATTTATGTGATCTATATCCGGTAACATGTTGGCATCGTTTTATCGGCAATAAACAGGCTCTCCCCAAATCGTTCTCTGTGAGGCATTACTAAAAAGGTAGGCCTATACCTGATCATATAGAATAAAAGAAAACACCAATCTATAACATGATTTTATAAAAAAGATCAAGGATGTTAGTCTTTTTCAATCATTTTTGTTTTATGAAAGAAAATTCTTAAAATAACACAAGAGAAATTCTTTCAAGAAACATTGAGGGTCTACGTTAAATTATCGAAACTTGCGCTTCTGTAGCCAAGTGAGAAAATAGGAGACAAGCCTCGTGTGTGTAGTGTCTCTCAGTCTAGAATAAACGAAGAGCAAAATTCGGGTGTATCGAGAGTATTGTCTGGTCTTTTTTTTTTTTTTGGGGGGGGGGGGGGGAGGACAATTATACGTAGGCTACTGCAGCACCGTATTACATAGTTCCTTTAGGAACTGTCTCTGAGTGGACGATGTCGCTCAGAGACAGTTCCTAAAGTAACTGGGCCCCTACGTATTACAGAAAACGCTCAAGTTCTTTCCAGTATTTTAATGATAGATGGAGTAACATTTTTTAGTTTTACATGTGATTTCCGGCAAAAAACAAGAACAGTAATAAGTGGGAAAATTGTGGTCTATTTGCATTCTATTTCATTTTTATAAAAGAAGACAAAAACATTGCTGCTGCTTTCTCTGTAAGCAGTCACTTAAAGTATTGGAGGTTAGAGCTAAACTTAGCAGACGCCCTTTTGTCGATGTCTTTAGAGTAATCTTTCTCTTGTATAACTCTTCTGGGTAGAGTTATGTTTGGTCCTTGAAAGGTTTTGATTGGATGACAGCTCGGCATCTCAGCCAATGAGAACGAGTTAGAACGAGATTTACCGGAAGCTGGATGACATGCTGAAGAAATGTAAATATTGTTTTCTAGATTGTAATAATTTATATTCTTAAAAATAAATTCAGTATACATACAAAGCCACCACAATACAATCATGCCAGTAATCTGCTCATCGTGTGATAAATCAGCTATTCTGAAAAGACCGAAAACTGTAAGTTGCCTATCGTAATATAATTATTTCTTCTGATTCAACTTAATTTAAGTGATTGTGATTAATTAAATATAGAAAATAATGTTTGATTACTTATTCAGTTCCAGTTTTATTTTCATCTTATTTCATCCTTTATTTGGATTAATTATGTGGTGACTGTGATTGGTAGTGAGATAGAATAGAATTATGTAGATGTTATTTTCCTGCTACAGGAATTAATGCGGCTATCATCAACATTGTGTGTTTGTTGGTACCGGTTCCACTGTCTTCTGATCACAGACTGTGACACATTAAGCATTTTGGCTACTGCTCGCTGTGTAGAACCCATTTGAAGCATGCCAAAAGCACATAGACATTCATCATGTTGAAGACGTCTCATTGCAAATTAAACGTAACACACTAAGATACGCTAAACAGTAAATCTTATGCAAGAACCGATAGGAAAGCAAACATGTATAGTATAAACCAGCATGCGTCAGTTTTCATCAACCCTTCCTTGAAGTGTCAAATTTGACAATGAACCCCTCCCACGTGTATGGCACTATTGCGTGTCACCCATGTAGGTCAGTGGTTCTGTTGGTGCGATAAGTTCTTCATCTGTTAACATACTCTCAAACCATGTCAAGTGTCCATGACTATTTATCATATCACAACCTGCATAGGTATTTGCATTTCAATATCTCCTACTTTTTTTTAAGAGTATAATATTAATTTAGCTCTGAATAGTCTTGGGGGGGGGGGGAATGGCCAAATGGTTAGCGTGTGCGCACTGCATCATAAAGTCTGTCATTGAGTCAACTGGCGTGGTTTCAATTCCTGGTTGTACGTGACAAGGAGTAGGGTCGCCTGTCCAACCTCGTGGGTTTTCTCCGGGTCCTCCGGTTTCCTCCCACTGCTAAAGACCCCTACGCGCAAGTGAACTATTGAAAAAGAATAATTCGGAATTGACCCATATGTTAATCCCTAAATGACCTATTTCTCTCTCTCTCTATAATTAATCTAGCTCTGAACTACTTGTGCAAAGCCCTGAAGATTGTGGGCTACATGTACCAGTTGTAGTGACTAGTGGCAAACATGACACCGCTACAATATTTTCAGCGACGCCCGGGACTCGTTAAGTATTTTGTTGGACGGCTAATTTTTTGCATTCTGTCGCCCGCGGATAAGCCGATTTTCTCTAACAGAAATTCATTGAAATTGAAATAAAACAATACTCGGTGATTATTTAAAGCATTTTAGTTCCACAATAATAATAGCCGAATAGACCAACTTCAGTGCTTCCGGTCATAGCTTCTGGTACTAAAAATAACTTTTTGAAAAATAAACAAGTACCGTATAGTCGAATAACAACATTTCTTTAAAAATTTGATTTTCATTGGTCAAAATATCATACTCTCATTATTATAGGAGTCTCTCTTCCAATGAAAATCATTGATTAATAAATTAGATCCATATAGAAAAAAAAATTGGGTGATTCTCTTTCATCTGCTTCTTGTTCTACTTAAAGACTGATAAATGGAGAAATACCTTTTGCTCCAAAATAAAACTAAATAAGTAAGAACACTGATATCTTACCCCACATCATTTTCAATTAAACATAAATATTTTGTTGATGTTGAAGTGTGTCAACACACTACAACAGTAACAGATAATGTTTCAAATGACTGTATTGTTGATGATATTGACTAGGTTAGGTTGGGTTGTGTGGTCTAGTGGTTTAATGCATGTACATGAAATCATAATATCTGTCATTGAGTCAAGTGGCATGGCTTCAAATCCCTGTTTGTATGTGACAAGGAGTAGGATCGCCTGACCAGCTTGTGGGTTTCTCCGGGTCCTTTGGTTTCCTCCCACTGCTAAAGACCCTTACACTCAAACAAGTTAATGGAATAAAATTGAACCGTCAGTTAGTCCCGAAATTACCAAATTTTTGTCGTGTGGATGTTAAACCCTATTTTTCTCAATTTCTCCCTTGATGATATTGATAGAAATTATTATTGAGGATTAGAGCAGATATCTGTTGACACTATTGGTTGTTGTTGTTTGTTACAATTTTAATGTTCAATACAATTATTGATGATAACATGGACAGGTTGAGTTAAACCTGCGCAAAGTTCACAAAACAGTTTCAAACTTAAGTTAAGAATTTACTCATAATTGTTTGCATTATTTTAACTAAAATATAGTCCTTTATAAAACTCTTGTTGTTTTAATGTGTCAGATACATCAATGAAAAAAAACTATGACTATGTGCAAAATTTTGTGTTTCTGGATCAAAGATATTTCTCATAAACAGGGATTGAAAGTTGAGTAAATTCTTAACTTAAGTCTCAGAATGCTTTGTGAACTTGGGGCCTAGTATATTGGGTCATGTACATGTAGCCCACTAAATATTAGATTAGGTCTTTCGTACAATGTATATGGATCAGTTTTGTACAGAGTAAACAGCTCCTCTCATCCCTTGGCAGCTGACAGAATTAAAAGTTCAGAATAGTATTAATTTGGACTGGTTTGCTGCCAAAATGCCTACCCTAATTGGTTGTGTTTCATCAATCCTTTTGATGATTATGGGCAACCCAAGCCTTCAAAAGGGCAATATGAAACATTGCTTGATAATGACTAGACAAGCGTAGTCGAAACATTGCTTAGTTATAAACAGTAATTGTATTCCATAGAATTGTGACCTGTATGGAACAGTTATCAAATAACTACACATGTGAACTTCAAAGATTGTGATTTAAATGCCTCCCCACAGTATCTTAATGAACTTTTAACACTGTATAAACCATGTCAGAACCTGCACTCTGCTGATAAAAAGCTTAATTTTTACTTCATGTTGAACACGCAACTCGAAAATTGTCAAGGCGAGCGAGGCATTATGATGGGAAAAAAGACGAATCTATTCCCTAGCCACTTCACTATTTAAGCCTTGTAACTTGTACTGTCCCCACATGAAACAATGCTACAACAAGTTGCATTCATGCGCATCGGTGATGGGCAGGAGTATATAATAGTATACGCCGCAGATTACACAAGATGCTATCATTGATGTCTGTCTATAGTCACTCTATAGGATTAGGGAACCGTCAGCTAAACAACAAGAATTCGTTTGGAAGTGGAAGCATTAATTAGACCAGACTGGTGTTTTTGAGTCGATGGTTTGAGTAATTAGGGATCCCTGCAAAGGGTTGGGAACCGACATATTTGGGTCTGAGAAAAGGCACTTTCAGCAGTAAAAAAGGGCACTGTCGAAAATTAGGGTGGGCGCACGACCCTCGCGCCCCTCCCCCCTTGGATCCGCCTCTGGTAATGAACTAAATCAGACTATTGCAGGTCTTTAAATTCAATGGTTTCAAATGTTATAAACTATTATCTAGACATTTATTGACATCACAAGCCTACAATCAATTCTCTAGACCTTCGGATGGCTGAGATTTAAATGGTTTAGAACACCCACAAGATTTTAAAAATTAACAATAAAATGGATAATCGAGACTTAGTCTTGATTGTCAATTACCACTGATTTGATAATAAACAATCTGTGCTACATCTTCAAACATCTTCGCTCAGAATAAAGTAATTGGACTGAAATTTTCAATATATTCATTATTCATGATCTGTTTTTGAATTATTATAGCAAGAACAATCAGCTCTTTATCTAAATCTTACATACTGGTACATGTAATACTTTTTTTATATAAATGCTGTACATTTGAAATTGGGGGGTTGGATGGTCTGTCATTGAGTCAACTGGCGTGGTTTCAATCCAAGCTTGTACATGACAAGGAGTTGAGTAGCCTGCCCAACCTTGTGGGTTTTCTCCAAGTCCTCCGGTTACCTCCTACTACTAAAGACCCCTACGCGCAAGTGACGTATTGAACCATATGTTAGTCCCAAAATGACATAGCTTGTGTCGAATGGACCCCTCTCTCTCGCAGTTGTACGTGACAAGGAGTAGGGTTGCTGTCCAACCTCATAGGTTTTCCCCGGGTCCTCCGGTCCCGAAATGACAGCTTGTGTCGAATGGACCTCTCTCGCAGTTGTACGTGACAAGGAGTAGGGTTGCCTGTCCAACCTCATAGGTTTTCCCTGGGTCCTCCGGTGTCCTCCTTCTACTAAAGACCCCCACATGCAAGCGAATTATTAAAATAATATTGAGCCATATGTTAGTCCCGAAATGACCTAGCTTTTGTCAAGTGGACCTCTCTCTCTCACACACATTTGAAATTATTTGATATTGTTTAATAAAGAACTTGCCAACAATAAGTGTTATGTTAGTCCCGAAATATCCTAGCTTGTGTCGAGTGGACCCCTCCTCTCTCTCTCTCTCTTCTCTCTCTCTCTTCTCTCTCTCTCTCATTTGAAATTATTTGATATTGTTTGATAAAGAACTTGCAAACAATAAGTGTTATGTTAGTCCCAAAATGACCTAGCTTGTGTCGAGTGGACCCCTCCTCTCTCTCTCTCTCTCTCTCTCTCTCTCTCTCTCTCTCTCTCTTCTCTCTCTCTCTCATTTGAAATTATTTGATATTGTTTAATAAAGAACTTGCCAACAATAAGTGTGTAAGAAGGCGATATTATGTGATAATGGTGTTAATCTTATAAATCAAGTAATGTTGATGTAAACCAGCATAAATTAAGACACCGATAAAAGCAAGACGTAAATGACACCATAAATAGCAAATGAATCTGGTAGCAAAGTTTACCCAAGCCCTTGAAAGCATTCAAGCTATTAATTTGTATTGTATTATTGTGATTAGTTGAGCTATCTGTTTTCAGGCTACTGGCTTGTCTTTGATGGTCAACAGTGTAGTACATCTGGCACTACCATTGTTCCTTCTGTTAGTATTGGACAGTTTTACGGCCCTAGGGCGAAAAGGGGACCAGCCATCTTGCATAAAACAACCTCATCCAAACATTAGAGAGTATCAAGATCGGTTAACTCTAGTTGTTTTCATATCTGTTACAAGTTATTCAAACTTCCTTAATACAGCTGTCTAATTTTATAAGAAAACAATTTGTGATATAAAAGATAATAAGTGTTAAGTCAGTAATTGAAGTTTGATAGCCATGATATTTGTTTAAAATAAGTCTGAATAAAAAAAAAACCCTGATAATGGTCGACCATAAATAATTATATGAGTACTTATACTTTGTTCTTTTCTTAGTTTAAGTAATTTAATCAGCTGGAGAAAATTTAACCAAGATAATGTTTTACAAATCTTAACAACTGGGGTGGTTTCGAATACCCGGTTGTATGTGACAAGGAGTAGGGTCGCCTGTCCAATCTCGTGGGTTTTCTCCGGGTCCTCCGGTTTCCTCCCACTGCTAAAGACTCCTACGTGCAAGCGAATTATTGAAATAAAATTAAACCATATGTTAGTCCCAAAATGACCCTGTTTGTGTCGAGTGGACGTTAAACCCCATCTCTCTCTCTCTCTCTCTCTCTCTCTCTCTCTCTCAAATCTTAATCTGGACAGTTTGTAGTGGCAGCTGAATAACTTCAAAACATATTTTTCAAATTGCACAAAATACTTTTTAAAACGTTTTGTATTTTTTGGACAATATTTAACTTTTCACAGCTTAATTTACGCTAAAATGTACTTAATTAATTGCAGTTATATGAATACAAAAATTAGAATATTTTTTAAATTTCCAAATAATAAATTCAGCATGTGTTTTCCAGAAAATAAATTCAGAAAGTGTTTTCCAGATAATAACTTCTGAGCGCATTTTCCAGATAATAAATTCTGAACGCATTTTCCAGATAAATTCTGAACATGTTTTGCGGATTTATATTTATTTTTATTTTAAAGTTCAGTTAATACTGAATATCGTTCAGATTTGCTGGTGAGTGCAAATCCAAGAATGCTGGTCATAGTTTGTCCCCTAAAATTATTACTTGGTTAAATGTGTCATACATAAACAACATGTTGCCTTTTATTTTTTTAAAAAAAAACCCCAAACATTCTATTTTGAAAATTAGATGATTCATATCTGAAAACATCCAGTCTGTATAGCTTAACAAAGCTAAGAAAAATGTGAACATATTATGTTGTGTTATATTATAATGTGTTATCAGAGATGATATCTACAAGATAATAATGTAAGATAGTCTTAAACCCAGCTCTCTCTTACTTAATTAAAGACTCTTTAACATTCAGCTTTTATTTCTTACAGTAAACCTGATCTCAAAGAGGACTAATAACGCTTCAATCTGATATTAAAGCAGATATGATCCCCATATGACACATCAGTGAAAATTAGAATTTAATGCCCCCTCATTTTTATTTAATAATTAATGACAATATCCTCTTTCAGTTAAAGCTTGCTTGTCTTTGGTATCAACGGCTTTTGGTTAGTCAATTGAATCCTGTTTTGCTCGTTGACGTCTTTTTAGCGACCAACGCCTGAATAATGTTTAGTTTGTGTTTGGCGTGAGTTTATCTAGGTGTTACATCTAAACGTTTACTAGTATCATATGATACGACCTTTAACCTACCTGTCAACAAAACAGATTGATACAAATAGCTAGGTTAAGAACTCACGGCTTCTCTGTTTCACTAATTTAAAGTTTAAATAGAATCTTTTGTAATTTAGAGTAACCATGGGAATGTCACTTTTTAAAGATAAGATATACATGTACAGAACAACACCTGCTGAAAAAAATAAAATCTCAAAAAACTTTAAAAACAGAAACCTGATTTAATAAAAACACGTAAATTACTATCCCCATCTCAACAGGTAAATCTCGTCTAATCTCACTAAAATACCAGTTATACAATATAACAAATATATCTACACATTTGAGCTTTAATTTCACACGTTTTATAATTGGCCAGAGAATGGCGGAATAATCTGGGATGTAGCCATATCCTGATTCAGCCATTGTGCCGGCCACAGATAGATACAAAACGTAGCACAATCCTTGTTCCGCCCACTGTGAAAATTATTACCTTTGTGACAGACTTGACTTGAGTTGTCGGTAAAAAGGTATGCTTGTTTAAAAGGTGTAATTAGAGCTCTCTTCTTGGTGGGCAGGTGACTTCTTCCCATGTCTAAAACTGATCCATCACAGGCTGTTTTTGTTGATGGTCCGACTGTTTTGTCTCAGTTTGTAGTTTAACACCACATATGTCAACTATAGTGTTTTGTAACTAAAAAGGTGTTTTGCTGCTACAAACTGTTTCTCCTCCTCCTGAGCTAGGAATTCATCATTCTTTGAATACGATCGTTATCCTGTCACACTTCTATGACTTTTTCCATTTACTAAGAAAGAATAGAGGTATCTTTGTGACTTAAGATGGACTTAGGTTACTGCCACACTAGTTACTGGTCCCGACTTGATAAATATTACCACAAATTGAAATAAATATATTTTAATTCTTAATGGAAACTGCCATATGAGCATCTTTTCAGAAGAACTGTGGGATATCTATATAAGTTATGAACTTTTTTCTTCTTTGAAATCATGTTTTAATTGGGTATGGTTTGTGCCCTTTGCGCTGATTTATGGGATGAAGTTTGACATAGACACGGACTAATTGTGACTGAATGACCACATTTTGCCAGATGTTGTAGAAGTTAAATGAATAGTCCGAAGAAAGCAAGCCTTAAATCAACTTGTTGCTACAAGTTTGGCAACTTGGCATTTGTATTGTCTCAATCATAATATTCTATAAATCTATCAAACTTTTAAGATGTTTAAAAGCTACAAGGGTCACTCCTTTCCCATTGTCTTTTTATAGTGAGTAGCTTTGTCATTGATGACCCCCCAAAAGTTTTCCAATGATGCAAGGTTTCAATTGACCCTTTAAATGTGTATAAGTCACAAGAGGTCAGATCTTGAGCAAGCTGCATAATAAACTTATGAGACAGTATGAAGTTGAAGAGGGTTTTGTTGTGTTGTATTAAAGCGGTGTTAGGAAGATTGGTCAGTGTTTAGCCATCTGTACAAGTAGAGCATCATTATTGTATTGAGCTGTTGACATGAGGTGGACAGTGATAAACAGACATTGCATGTCAACTTCAAGTTTTTTTTTTTTATATTTTACTTATTTTGACTGTGTTTATTACTTATTCTTAATGACAATCACCAAACAAATGCTGAGATTAAAACCCCCTCTGGGTTTTTTTTTCTATTGAATTCAGGCCATCAATGACTTTTTCAAGAAAGGGTGTCATATAAGTTTTCATTTATTATAAACCAAGTAAAGGATGATTTCTTTTAGATTAATTTGGTTTTGGAAAAACTAAAGGTGTGAAGAAAAAAAAATATTCAAAAAAAAAATTGGTTTTGGAAAAACAAGGGGTGTGAAAAAAAAAGTTATTTAAAAAAAAGAAAGGTTTTGTCAGAACTTTTGGTAAGCATTTTGTTACTACGCATTTGAAGCCAGAAAAAATTATTAGTAAATAATTATTTAAAAAAAAAAATTAATTTTGGAAAAACTAGAGGCGTGAAAAAAAAAAAATTATTTAAAAAAAAAATCAAAAATGGTTTTGGAAAAACTAAGTGTATGTACAAAAATAATTATTTTAAAAAAAAGAAAGGTTTTGAAATGACGTTAAAGTCTTGTCATGTTACTTCGGTAGGGACATAACATGTTTTGAAATGAAATGAAATGAGGTTTAACGTCCTACTGTTCTGCTCTTATACTGGGATACGCCATACAGTGTGCTATGAGGGAAATTTTGCCCGGGCAGCGGCACTATCGCCTACTCTTATATCGAATTCCAACTGCCAAGGGATCTTTTACGTGCATTCCAATATTTACAGGGGATCTCGGTTTTTTGTTTCATCTGAAGGACTAGACAGCTGTCCTTGCCAGGCCCTCCGTCCTGCACATAGGCGTACGGGGAAATTTTTGACTGGGGGGCAGTGGTGGTTGGTGCCCAAAAAATGTAGTTGGTTCTTAGTATGTTACATAATAATAATAAATTCGCTGTTAAATTGGACACATTCAAGAACACAATATTTTTTTATACAACTTTTACAAAGTACAATTGTGTGCCCAAATTTTCCCAGCATTTGGTGCCCAAAATGGGGGAGCCCCCCCAGCTCGTACGCCTATGGTCCTGCATCACTGACAAGGGGAAACCACGTCGGAAAATCGGGATGAACTTTCTCAGCCAATGCAGGGATCGAACACCCAACATGTTTTGAAGTAAAGTACATGTATATATTTTTTATTATTCTTGCTGTAATCAATATAATGTACATGTGTTTTTTCATATATTTAAATTCTCTAATTTTTGTTGTTTTCAGGGCGATGCTTTATGTAAGAAATGTTTTTATTACGCGTTTGAAGAAGAAGTACACCATACAATAATAAATTCTAATTTATTTGTACGAGGTGAAACTGTTGCTATTGGAGCCTCTGGAGGAAAAGGTAGGCTATCCAACCAAACATCAGAATTGCATTTTTGTCTTTAATTCCTGCAAATTCTTCAATTTACTGAAAGATGTAATTAACAAGTTGAAACTCTAAAAAGAATATTAGTCCAAAAATAAATTGAAATTACACAACATTCTGTATCTTCTGTAGGCTACAGAAAAAAGCCATGTGTTATCTATTGACTGCTTGTACTTGACAAGGAGTAGGGTTGCATGTCCAGTCTTGATTTTCTCCTGGTTCTCCTGTTTCCTCCCACTGCTAAAGATCACTAAAATTGAACCATATGTTAGTGGACGTTAAACCCTCCTCTCTCTCACTCTCTCTGTCTGTCTCTCTCTCTCTCTCTCTCTCTCTCCTTCACAATCCTTAGTTCAGTTTACAGGCAATAATGTACTAAGGAACAAAAGAATAATCTCTCTCTTTCTCTCTCTCTCTCTCTCTCTTTAACTATTTATGATTTACATGAAACTTTAATATTTAGCATTCAGTTACTTTGTGTCAAGATATTTAACTGGAACTCAAATGATATATAGAAAATAATAATGAATAGAATTTCATAAATTAATTGTATTGTTTTTATTTCCCCAGATTCTACAGTATTAGCGTATGTATTAAAGGTATTAAATGAAAGATATGATTATGGTATAAAGTTGTTATTATTGTTTTTATTTCCACAGATTCTACAGTATTAGCGTATGTGTTAAAAGTATTAAATGAAAGATATAATTATGGTATAAAGTTGTTATTACTGTCTGTAGATGAAGGTATTACAGGATACAGGGATGATTCACTTGAGGTAATTCTATTAAACATGCATTATGTAAGAGCTAAATCTTCCTTTTGAAGGTGGCGGTCGAGTGTTCGATCCCTGCATTGATCGAGAAAGTTCATCCGGATTTTCCGACATGGTTTCCCCTTGTCAGTGGTGTAGAACGGAGGGCCTGACGAGCACAGTTGTCTAGTCGTTGGGATGGGATAAAAAACAAGTTCTTGTGTACACATTAGCGTGCAGGTAAAAGGTCCCTTGTCAGTTGGAATTTGATATATGATTAGGCGATAGTGCCGCTACCCGGGCAAAATTTCGCTCATAGCGCACTGTATGGCATATGCCCGTCTTCATTCGCCCAGTCGCATCAGAACTGTATGAACTGTATGAAGATCTTTTTTATAAATTATTATTTAGACATTTATTCATATGACAAGGCCTTGATAAACACTCTAGACCATAGGGCGGCTCCCTTTTTAAGTAGATTTAAGAGCTTAATGATAAAATAGACTTAATCTAAATTGTTAAGTACCGTTGCTATGGAAATAAAAAAATCTATGTTACATTTTGTCAAAATTTCAAAGACTCATAACTTTGCACAGGAAAAAGTAATTTACAATATAACTGAAATTTTCAATATACCGGTGTTCATTTTTCATTGTCTGCTTTTAAATTATTATAGCAAGAACTGTCAGCTCTTTTTCTAAATCTTACATAATGCATCTTTAGGGTTATTGTTTATTAATTTTAATTGATTTATAAAATAATCTTATATATTTATTCTTATTGCTAATTATTTAATTTATAGTGTTATTTGTATTTTAAAACATACTCTTATAAGGCTTTTTTATCGACTTGCCAAATTGATTTGAATTTAGTGGAGATGTCATGTGACAAATCTAATCGATTTCAAAGTACTTTGAGGAGTTCGTTAAATGCACCAATTAGCTGTAAACAATTCTTGTGACTGGATGTGATCACCCGTTCAAATTGCCGATTTGTGGTAATCACTTCGGAAATCGGTGCTGATAATTTAATTGAATGCAAATCACTGTCTAATCAGTGGTCAATAAAAACATGTTTATATGTAAATTAATGGTTAAAAGTTTTTTTTAAATATGTTTTATTTATTTGTAGACTGTTAAAAGAAATGAACAACAATATGAAATGCCACTTAAAATAGTTTCTTATGAGGTATGTAAACACAAAGACATGTTAACAGGTTATAGTAGCTATCTTAAGGCAGAATCACACTACGGTGAAACTAATTTAATTTTTAGTTTTTCTGGGTCTTAATTAAAAACATTTGGTTTAGAATGTCAAACTAAAAGCTTTTGTATAGTGGAACCAAGTACTCTTGGGTTTAAAATTAGTCTTTTTCCTCAAGGGGAGTTGAGTGGTCGAATGGTTAGCACGTGTGCGCTGTATCATAAGGTCTGTCATTGAGTCAACTGTATGTGACAAGAAGTAGGGTCGCTTGTCCAACCTTGTGGGTTTTCTCCGGGCCCTCCGGTTTCCTCCCACTGCTAAAAGACCCCTATGCGCAAGCGAATTATTGAAATAAATTGAACCATGTGTTAGTCCCAAAATGACCTAGTTTGTGTTGAGTGGACAGGCGACCCTACTTCTTGTCACACCAGATGACTCAATGACAGACCTTATGACACAACACGCACATGCTAACCATTCGGCCATCCAGCCCCCCCTATCTCCCAACAGAGGGGCAGATGTTGTCAAACGAGTAAGCACATCAAAACTTACCAACCCCTCTGTTTTATTTAGGATATTAAACACCATTTTATTTGTGTATAAATCATCAAACTGTTAGATATTTACTTTATTCAATATTCTTTGTTTTATTTAGGAATTATATGGTTGGACTATGGATGCTATTGTTAAACAGATTGGTTTAAAGAATAACTGTAAGTAGATTTCCTTGTTAAAGGGACAATAACACTCCTGCTGGCTTGACAGCTCCAAAAAATAAAAAAAATAGCCTTATTCTAAGTACTAGATGTGTTAGTGTCCTACCTGTTGTGTAAGTTATCCATTAAATCCTATTTTACTTGTCCAGAGGGTTCAAAAATATTTTTAAATCCAAGTAACATTTGAAAAGCTTTACGTCAGGCTTTTCAAATCATTTAGTTGAATTTTTCCAATTTTTTAAATTAGGTGTGTTAAGATGAAATTTGTATCATCAATTAATTGGAATATTGTAAAATAGTACAATTTGTTGATCAGAATCAAGATTGGGACATATTATTCAGTGGTATTGAGCCTTTAATGTCAGAAGATTTAGAAAGGGTCTTTTGATTCCCAATTGCTGATTCAAATACAGTACCTTTCTTTTATCTTTTCTAAGATTTGTTATATTTTTGGGGTGTTTGTCAGGTTTCAAGGCTGATTATACCAATTGGTTGATGAGGTATCGGTCCTATCCATCAGAATTAAGCAATTTAAATTTTCAACCTCTTCGCAACCTAATATTGATATCGTCGCTGCCCTTTTGAGGAGTAACAAAATACTATATGTTTTTGATCAAATTTCTAGATTTAAAAAAAAGTAAAACTGTGACTTTGACAAAAGTCGTAGTTACTAGGGTTTGAAAGCTCAACAACGATATACAAACTGCATATTCCTGGTCAGGGATCAGAACAGGCTACAATGTATTGAAACAAACCATGAACCCCAAACCATCACTGGATGCATTTAATTGCTAAAAATGAAGTAAAAAACTGACGTATAAACATGTATTTCTTCTTTCCTGGATCCAGTTTAGAAAAGTAGGACTTTGTTAAACCCCATTTCATTTTAAGGGTGTGTTTCTGTATTGTAGGTACATTTTGTGGTGTTTTTAGACGACAAGCTTTAGACAGAGGAGCCATGATGTTGAAAGTTGATAGAATTGTAACAGGCATGTAAATTTTATACTGTTTATAGAAATTGTTCAATATTTAAAAGCAATCTCGGCTCCCAGGGAGAAGTTTATTGTTCGTTTGTCTCTGAGAAATCCCGCCGGCCATGTTTCAGTCTGAATTCGGTTTCTAAGCTCCTCCCCCAGTGGCTCCTGATTGGCTGGATTTGTTTGAATGAAATACTGCCGATTTCTTGACAATTAGGCATTGATTCATCGCATGAGTTACATATTAATGATCCCTGGAACATGTTCCACATCTTGACATCAAAAGTTTATTTGAAAACAACTGATTTGATGATTGATCGGGAACTATTTTTAGCACGCAATGTAAGTGATTCGGCAATTTGAACGTAAAATACAAAAAATTTCTGAAGAAACGTGAGTTTGAGCTGCCATCTTGGATTTTTGTGAAGCAACCGGCGGAAGGACACATCCCATGACAATCAAAATGGCCGACGAATTGCCGGCACGATTCTCTAGAGAGCAATGAACGGTAAACTTTTCTCTGGAAGCCAAGATTGATGTATCTGGTGACCCAGGAAAAATGAGTATACAGTTTAAAGTGGAATAATTCAAAAAGTATTGTACCTATGTCTTTCACATTCCACATGTTGGACAATAAGGATGTTTGACAACTTCTCTGCAATTCCAGATCTGTCACTCCAAGGGAGCCATGGTGGCTCAGCTGGTTGGACGTTGGTGCGTTAACCTGTAGGTTGCATGTTCGATCACCCTTGTCAGTGGTGCAGGACAGAGGACCTAGCAAGGGACAATGTATAGTCATTCGGAACGGACAAGAAACTGAGGTTGCATGTTGGTTCTCTGCATTGGCCGAGAAAATTCATCGGGGTTTCCCCCTTGTCAGTGGTGCAGGACAGAGGGCCTAGCAAGGGACAACATTTCACAAAAGGCGCAGTGGCAACTGTTACCTTTCACCAGAGTCATAAAGCTATATAACTATGAAACTTTATTTTGATTTCTTTATATCAGGTCATAATGCTGATGATATTGCTGAAACTGTCATAATGAACGGTAAGTTATACAAGTGTAGTAATAAAAACGAGTGAACCCTCGTTGAAATGTCACCTGAAATAAACTTCTAAGTAACTTGTATTCCATATAATTGTATCATGTGTTAACATTATGCAAGAGCTAAATCTGCCTATTGCAGATCTTTTTTTAGGCCTGAAATGTTATGTAAATTATTAATTAGACATTAATTAACTTATCCAGACCATAATCAACTCGCGATATTTACTGGATTAGGATCCCATTTGCTGCTCAACTTTCATTCATGATTTAATCATGAAATGAATAATCGAGACTATGTTTTTTATCGTACCGACTTTAGTAATGATGATCGAGGTTAGGTCGAAAACTCAATTGCTAAAATCTTGGTTCAGAGTTGATCAATTCGACTGAAATTTTCAGCAAATTGCCTTTACAGTATCTAGTTTTTAACTATTATAGTGAGAACTGCCAGCTCTTTATCTAATCTCCCATAATGTATCTTTTAGTATATTAATGTTTAAAGAAAATGGTGGTTTGTGAGTTGTAAATATTGTCTTTGTAACTGTTTACTGCTTTCTACATCAGTTTGTATTAATAACTGATTTCCGATTTTTGTGTCACTTCCGGAATCTTCAAATCATGGTTACAGATCAACCATAGAATTATTTTTGAAATTCTTTTTAACCTATGTAAAATTTGTGGATAAGTAGAATATTAAAGGGAGAGAGAGAAATGGCTTTTAACGTTCACTCAATACAAACTAGGTAATTTTGGGACTAACATATGGGTCAATTTTATTTCAATAATTCGCTAGCAGTGGAAGGAAACCCACGAGGTTGGACAGGCGACCCTACATACAACCGGGGAATAAAAACCATGCCAGTTGACTCAATGACAGACTTTATGATAAAACGTGCACACGCTAACCATTCATTCGGCCCCTAGAATATTAAATCCTATATCATTTGATTTATTATATTATAGTACTAAGAGGTGATAAAGCCAGATTACGTAGATGTACAGCTATTACAACAGTAAGTATTGTTCATACAGTCATCTGGCATGATGGTGAAACTGAATATTGAATCAAATTGGTACACTACATTTTAAAAATGTACTTAAATTGGGATTATAAATAAAATCCAAGACTGTGATGAATTAACTCCTATTTCGTTTCGTTTTTTATAGTTCAAAATTTCATATTACTTGTCTTTACTACACTAGGATCTGGAAGAGTTGTTATATACCCGCGTTCTGTGAGAAATTAGCCATTGAAATGGTCTGTTACAGTGAGTTTTTGCCGTGAGGTGCACGGAACTGTTGGTAACCCTCTAGAAACATCAGCGCTGATTGGTTAATGACCTCTGACGCGACCTTCGAGTACAAACAGTCAGATCTTCATGCAGGGTAGGCCATCGAAAGTATAAAAAAAACGAAATGAAATATAGATCTGTATTTTAATCAGATTGGTATTTAGAATAGAGTCCAATACAATTTATTATACAGTTTAATTTATTAATTATGAAGAAATCTATTGTATTGTTTTTATCAGGGTACAGAAGGAGCTTTACCTAGAAGTAAACCATTTAAATATACTTATGAAAAGGAAATAGTCATGTAAGTATAAAGCGTGGATGGTTGAATGTTTAGCGAGTGTGTGTTGTATTATAAGGTCTGTCATTGAGTCAACTGGTGTGGTTTCGATTCCCTGGTTGTACATGGCAAGGACTAGGGTTGCCTGTCCAACCTCATGGGTTTTCTTGGGGTCCTCCGGTTTCCTCCCACTGCTGAAGACCCCTACATCCATTCGACGCAAACTAGGTGATTTCAGGACTAACATGTGGTTCATGATCATTTCAATTATATCTCTACTGTCCTAAGGATCATTGGCAGTAGGAGGATACTGGATAACCTGCAGAAAACCTATCAAGTTGAACTATGAAAGTGGTCATGTACAAGCAAGGAATCGAAACAATGCCTCTTGAAAAAATGACAAACCTTATGATCTAAAGTGTATGTGTTAAACCATTCAGCCATCCAACCCCTTACATATTATAAAAATTAGCAGTATTCACTGTGAGCTATGTTTGTGTTCATACAGGTACGCATGTCTAATTTCCTGGTTTTATTTTTACAGGTATGCATACTTTAAGAAATTAGATTATTTCTCTACAGAGTGTATCTATTCTCCTAATGCTTACAGGTAAACACTTTCATTTGACTTACAGGTAGCACACTAACGAATAAATTATTATTATACCAACCTCAAAGCTAAATATCTCTGACATTTTAAAAAATATGTGCATGTGTTACATAGCATTTGAAAGCCCTTTGAATACAGAATTAAAAAATTTATGCATATTTGTGTTTTGAATTTTTGATCTATGATATGTGTTATAGTTGGTCACATATGGTTATCATTTTATAGAATAATGTCGGTTTCAAATTCAAGTTGTGTCGAGTTATTCTTTCAGTCATAGTCTAGACTTTTGAATTGTATGAAAAACTGAGGTCCTGTGTACATGTTGGCGTGCACATAAAAAAGCAGGCGACAATTGGAATTCAATATAAGAGTTAGACAAAATTTCCCTCATACAACACTGTATGGCATATGCCTGTCTTCATTAGCCCAGTTGGTGCAGAAAAGTAGGATGTTAAACCCCAATTCTATACTTTACTTGTTATTAAATGTTTACAAGTATTATGTCATATATTTTCAGAGGATTTGCCAGGGCATATATAAAAGATCTTGAAAAAATACGACCTAGATCTATTATAGGTAAAATCAGTTCTAATTTCTATATACTTATAGTAATTAATTTACTTACGATGTGGTTTTTTTTTTAAATTATTAAAAGGGTATGCATTTAATAAATTTACAATTTAACCCAGTAAATGAACGTAGGGTGACGTGACGGAGTGATCGAATGGTCTAACGCATGCCCTTTAGATCATAAGGACTGTCTTTGAGTCAACTGGCGTGGTTTTGATTCCTAGGAGTGGGGTCGCCAGTCCAACCTCATGAATTTTCCACCGTTTCCTCAAGTTTTCTCCCACTGGTAAAGACCCCTCTCTCTCTCTCTCTCTATCTCTCACTAAAATTCAATGTCAGTTTTCTTAATTTTAGATATAATTCATTCTGGAGAGAGTCTCTCTTTTAAAAAAGAAGTTAAAATGCCAGTACAAGGTTTGTATTTTATTTGTATTTTGCTTTCTAGAATGGCTTTTATTTGCCACTGGTGGTCGGGGGGGGGGGGGGGGGTCCGATAACAGTGTTGGCTGAGGTAGTTCCTCCAGATTTTCCAGAGTGATTTCCCCTTGTCAGTGGTGCAGGATGGAGGACCTGGCAAGGAACTGAACACATTGGTGTGCGCGTAAAATAACCCCTCACAGTTTGAATTCGATATAAGAGTCGACCATAGCACCGCTATCTGGGTAAAATGTCCTCAAAACACACTGCATGAAGTATGCCCATCTTGATTAGAGAAGTTGTGGAGAGAAGGAGGATATTAAAACACATTACATTTCATTTCTAGAATTGTTTTATATGCCACAATAATCCATTTATCTGATTTTCAACATTTTTCAATAATTACCTCCAGAAGTAAACCCCCTATGAAATTAATATTGGTTGTCTACCCACAGTCATCGTGTAATACACTGTAAAGTAGATATTGTTGACTAAGCGACAAATGAATTTTATAAATGATAATATTTTGCCTCTAACGGATTAAAGTCGTCATTTTATATACATAATGTTTATTAGTTAGTTAACATTGTTAGTAGCCAGGCTGTAGACATTAAGTAGGTGTTTTGACACTAAGGTGTTAAGACTGTGACTATTGAATGATATACATCACTATTGTCCAGGTTTGTGTATTCAATAGTGATGGGTGTTATAAATACTAAATAGTCACACTTCTACACCAATAGTGACATCTTTTACAGCTAGTTACACACCTGCTAATTAATGACTACTGTATAAATTCTAACCACTTTCTATACATACTAAACATTAGTTTAGAAGACCCGGGTTAATAAGTCAACGATATCAGCTTACCAGTGATATTTAATGATATAAATGTGAACACAGACGCACCAAGTTCACAAAGCATTCTCAGAATTAAGTTAAGAATTTACTCAACTTTCAATCACTCTTTATGAGAAATATCTTTGATCCACAACGCAAAACTTTGCACCTATTTTCTTATTGATATATTTGATACATTAAAACAACAAAAGTTTTATAAAGAGCTATATTTTAGTTGAAATAAGGCCAACAATTTTGAGTAGATTCTTATAACTTAAGTCTGAAAAGGCTTTGTGAACTTGTGTAAAAAGTAAATTATACATAATATGATATTTAATAATGTTATTTCTATATTTGTTTTATTTTATAACAGGAACCTGTAGTCGATGTAAATATATATCTAGTAATGAAATATGTAAAGCTTGTGTTTTATTAGAGGGTTTAAATAGAGGTCTTCCAAGGTAATTAATTAATATTTAATACCCTCTATATCAGGGCACTCCCTATTCATTAGGGGGGATCACGGTGGCTAAGTGGGTGAGTCGCTGGCTCTTCCTAGCCTGGAGGTCGGGTGTTCTATCCCTTCATTGGCCAAGAAAGTTCATCCAGATTTGCCGGCGTAGTTCCCCCCTTGTCAGTGATGCCGGAGGGAGGGTCTGACAAGAACAGTTGTCTAGTCGTTCGGATGGGACAAAAAACCGAGATCCCTTGTACACATTAATGTGCACGTACAAGATCCCTTGACAGTTGGAATTTGATGTAAGAGTAGGCCGTAGTGCTGTCCGAGCAAAATTGCCCTCATAGCACATTGTATGGCGTATGCCCGTCTTAATTAGCCCAGTTTTGAGCAGAACAGTAGGACGTTAAACCCCATTTCATTTCCTGTTCATTAGCCCAGTTGGAGCAGAACAGTAGGATATTAAACCCAATTTCATTTCTATATCAGGGGTGGCCAATCTTTTACATACCATGCGTTAATTTGTTCATACATCGATTCAGATGCGTCATATAATAAGTAACTTATGACATTATTTATGACAAGCTCCAAGACGGACGAAAGGTACTTTAAAATGTTATTAAACCAGTGTTGAAATCAGTTTGTGTTGGCATACCTTTTATCTTTTCATTGTTTACTGTGAAACCAAGTCGTCCAGCTTTATGGTTGTGCTAATATTTCTTGGATATATATACACAATATAAGATGATCCCACTTAGTGGACATATAGTTGTTTGTGATGGTTGCAAATTTAATTTAGTGTTTTTCCAATGTACAAGCTAAATAACAATAATAATGATTTATTAGACGTCAAAGACGCCTATTTTATTGACAAATATCGGCCAGCTTTAAATTGCATTGTATATAGGCCTAGTTATTGTTGTCTGATTTGATAATCAAGTTTTGTCCCTTCTTTGTACTATGACATCATAGTCATTGTATTATCTAAATGTTGTTTATCTGAAGAGCTTAATAAAGCTTAAATTTTGTATATATTTATTAATATCTGAAGACGCCCATAGAAGGCAGACAGCTAGCTTACTTGTATATGATTTAATGTATGTCAGAATGAAGTAAAGTGGAGAATTTTTTACCTGGACATATTTTTTATTTATTTATACATATACATATATATATTTATATATATAATATACATATATGTGAGACTTCTGTTGTAAAGATGGAAAGTGTGACGTATAATTTTACCTATAATAATGTGTAACTGACATCCTAATGTAACTTTTCATTATAACTTTTGTTTATAATTTTACCTATAATAATGTGTAACTGACATCCTAATGTAACTTTTCATTATAGCTTTTGTATATAATTTTACCTGTAATAATCTGTAACTGACAGCCTAATGTAACTTTTCATTATTACGTTTATTTATAGATTAGGGATAGGAAAAGAACATAAAGAACGTAGGAAGGTAGGTTTGTTATTTTTATATATCCTCATTAGATAAACCTCCAGTCACATTCAATCAGGTTTCCATTACCCTCGACCATATAAGTTGGGTGGTCATGGCCTGGTTGTGTATTTTTTCTGCAATGTCAGCACAGAAGTTACACAGTAATCACTACAACTTGGGTATCATTTAGTTGTGTTGTTTTAACAGGAGTTTATGTATTTAATGTTTAGTTTCAAACCATTGTTGGTAAACTGATCAAATCTGTTGAGAATCATAGAAAATATTGGATTTATACTGTTGTGTAGTTTAATGTGTCTGTCTAGATTAGATACTGAGTGTTGGCTTTATAACTGTTCATTTTCTCAAAATGTGTTGAGTAATTAACAGACTAACTAATTACTCAAAACTGCTCTCAACAGATTTGATCAGTTTACCAACAATGGTTTGAAACTAAACATTAAATACATAAACTCCTGCTAAAACAACACAACTAAATGATACCCAAGTTGTAGTGTAATATCCATATGAAACTGACAATTGGTCACAAAGCCCTGGGGTGATTTATTGTATGATCACCCAAGATTATCTACCATTTTCTGGGACCTGATGATCTTGTCTACGATATCACCCTTGGTGGAAGTGGATGTAAAACTCCAGGAACGAACGAACAAACCAGGTGATCAATCACAACGTAGGACCATTTATGACTAGTAACACAACAATCACACTACTGTTGAAGGCCTATTTAAAACCAGCTACTGATTGATTGAAAACCTCCCCATTATTGATTGTGCGACTGCCGACTACCCAATATAACCCTGGACTTTTCTACGGTTCCTTGCGATTTCCCTTTGTAGCTGGTCATAACTTGTAGTAAGTGGTCTCTCACGGTGACTTGAGTTTTAGTACTTTCAAGCAGATATTGTAATCTATCAACAGCAAAAAGTTATTTCCACACGATAATTTCTGCTCAAAGCCTTGGATTTTGTCCGTTGAAAGGGGGAACCGCAGTGGTTCAGTAAGTAAGTTGCTGGCTCACTAACCAGAAGGTCCGATCCCAGTGCTGGCCGAGAAAGTTCACCCGGAATATTCCAGGAAGGACAGCGTCTTGCTGTTCGGATGGAACAAAACACAAAGGTCCCAGGTGCACATTGGAGTACACTTAAAAGAACCCTTGACAGTTGGAGTTTGAAACAAGAGACAAGGACAACTGTCTAGTCCTTCGGATGAGACGAAAAACCGAGGTCCCTTGTATACATTGGAATGCGCGTAAAAGATCCTTTGGCAGTTGGAATTCGATATAAGTGTAGGACATAGTGCCGCTGTCCGGGCAAAATTTCCCTCATAGCACACTGTATGGCGTATGCCCGTCTTCATTAGCCCAGTATAGGAGCAGAACAGTAGGACATTAAACCCCATTTCATTTCATTTCATTTCGAAACAAGAGTAGAGCACAGTAGTGCCACTCTCCAGACTTGATTAGCGCAACTCTCCAGACAGAATTTTCCTCATAGCATACTTCATTGCATACACCTGTCTTCATTAGCCCAGTTGGTGCCGTAAAAGTAAAAACGTTAATTAACTCCATTTTATGTCCTTTGACATGGCTGCATTTCATGACATATATTCAAGGGGAACAACTCTTTTTTTTAAACCCTGAAATTTCACCTTCCGCAGAAGTCGATTTATGTAACCCTTTTGTTAAATGGGGGGAGTTGGATGACTGAATGGTTAAAGTGTGCGCGTTGCATCAAAAGGTCTGTCATTAGGTCAAGTGGCGTGGTTGTCTAGTCGTTCGGAGGGGACAAAAAGATCCCTTTGCAGTTGGAATTCTATATAAGAGTTAGCCATAGTGCCGCTGTTTGAGCAAAATTTCCCTCGTAGCACACTGAATGGCGTATGCCCATCTTCATTAGCCCAGTCGTAGCAGAACAGTAGAACGTTAAACCCCATTTGATTTTATCTATTTAAAAGTTGATTTGTTTTCTGCAGGCTGATGAGATGTTGAAAGAAGAGAACTGTAATACAGGTTGTAATAATACTCAAACTAACGGTGGTCAGACATCTTGTAATGGTCATGTGTGTTGTAAGGATAAGATAAATAGAACTGTTCCTACATCGCAGATAGAAAAACTTGATATTAAACCAAAACCTATCAGACCGGATCCATCAAATATAGATTTTTGATGAAATATTTATTGTTTTAAAATTAGATGGATTATTTTATTGCAATCTGATTAAAATACAGATCTATATTTCTTTTCGTTTTTTTATAAATTCGATGGCCTCTACTACATGAAGATCTGACCGGTTGTAGTGGAAGGTGATACGAGCGACTTTTGACCCTATGACATCAGACATTTGATTAACCAATCAGCGTTGATGTTTCTAATGGGTTACTCACACTTCTGTGCACCTCACGTCCAAAAATTGCTGTAACAGACAGTTTCATTGGCTAATCCCTCGCATCGTCAAGACTGCGAGTTATATAACAAATCTTCCAGATCCTAGCACAGTAAAGATAAGTTAAACAAAATTTTGAACTATAAAAAACGAAATGAAATAGGATCTGTGTTTTGATCAGATTGATTTTATTGTCAACTCCTCATTTTATTCCTTGGTCACATCTATGTTGCAATATTTATTTTATTGAATAAAGATTTTATCTTTCGAATAATTTTATGCACTTAATTTTGTAGCTAAATTTTAAATTATATTATAATGATAATAAGGGATCTTATAAAGCCCTAGACTCAAAGCACTGACTAAATTTACAGGAAACAGTTATAAATATGAACACTGAATCAAGTAAGTTTTGAGATTTTGTTTGAAGATGCTTAGAGAGGGGGCTGTCCGTAGATGTAGTGGCAGAGAGTTCCTTGTATGTGTCGGGGATCACGTGACTAAGTGGGTAAGACGCTGGCTCGCTAGCCTGGAGGTCGGATGTTCGATCCCTGCATTTGCCGAGAAAGTTCATCCCGATTTTCCGGCGTGGTTTCCCCTTGTCAGTGATGCAGGATGGAGGGCCTAACAAGGACAGCTGTCTAGTCATTCGGATGGGACGAAAAACCGAGTTCCCGTGTCCAAATTGGCGTGCACGTAAAAGATCCCTTGGCAGTTGGAATTCGATATAAGAGTAGGCCGTAGCGCCGCTGCCCGGGCAAAATTTTCCTCATAGCACACTGTATGGCGTATGCCCGTCTTCATTACCTCAGTTTAGGAGCAAAACAGTAGGACGTTAAACCCCCATTTCATTTCATTTCATTTCCATGTATGTGTTGCATTGTAGGCAAATGATCTTAGATTTACAGTTTCAGATATACATATATATAGGCGGGAGGTGGGGGTGGGAGTAGTTGATTGGGTTATTGATTGGTGTAACAGACACACTTTACATCAAAGTTCTGTAAAGTGACATGGATTTGATCCCAGGCTTGTGCATGACATTGAGTAGGGCCTACTGCCCAACCCTGTGGGTTTTCTATGAGCTCTCCTGTTTTCTTCCACTGCTAAAGACCTGTACAAATAAGCCATTTATTATCCTGCATCTCCTTGCTCCCGATTTCCTGGGGTGTTGGATGGCTGAATGGTTAGCATGTGTGCGTTGTATCATAAGGCCTGTCATTGAGTCAACTGGTGTGGTTTCGATTCCTCGGTTGTATGTGACAAGGAGTAGGGTTTTCTCTGGTTTCCTCCCACTGCTAAAGACCCCTATGCGCAAGCGAATTATTGAAATAAAATTGAACCATATGTTAGTCCGGGAATGACCTAGTTTGTGTCGAGTGGACGTTAAACCCTATTTCTCTCTCTCTTTCTCCCGATTTCCTTCCCTGATCATATCTCACCAACCATTTAAGATATCATATGAAACATTGTACACACATTTAACATATTATAGTAATAGTGCCATTTGCTAAAACCAAAAGGAAAAATACCTGTGTTTATTGTTGCTTGGCCACAAAAAATAGGGTTAGTCGGAAAAATTTTTATTTATTTTTATATTATTTTTTTCATCTATTTCCTGGCATTGTTTCTTTCAAATAATACCGAAATTTCTGTGTTGAAACTTGTCTAGAGAAAATCACACCAAGACCGTTTTATAGGGCCTGGGAATTGAGAGAAAAAAGGGTTTAGGGTCAGCAGTTTGGGTTAGAAAAGGGTCGGTGGACTATCTGTACAAACATTTATATTTTATTTGGCCTAATTAGACATTTCTCACTTGTAAAATAAATTGTATTTCCATGAAACAAATTTCAATATCAGCCTTTTCTTATTTAGGGGGTTGTGTGGTCGAATGGTTAGGATATCCTGTCCGGTTTCCTCCCACTGCTTATAGGACCCCAATGCGCAATGAATTAATGAAATAAAATTGACCGTGTGTTAGTCTCGAAATGACCTAGTTTGTGTCCAGTGGTTAACCCCTCTCTCTCTCTCTCTCTCTCTCTCTCTCTGTTTCGTAATTCAAGCTGTGAAAAGTGTTTTTTTTTTACTGTTGAGGCATCCTTCTTATGTGTCAATTAAATAAAATAAAATTAAAAAAAACAGTTTACCTGACAAATAGAAAATATTGATATGTAATTTCAAAGTAATAGATATTTTTCATTTATTGATTTACTATCACGGCTGCTATGTTGCATATCGTAATCAAGTTTTATAAATATGGTGGAAACAGAATAGGAAAATAAAATTTATTTAAAGGGCCAATCTCGATTATGTTTTGGAGAATAAAACTGCTTAATTTTTTGCTAAGTCCTTAAAATCCTCTACCTTGCCAAGCAATTATTTCAATACACGTGATACGTTTTCAAACAATGTAAACCCGTCAGCCTTCAACTGGAAATGCGGACCAGTGTCCCAAGCAATATTATACGGTATCTAGATAAAACCAGACTTTTATTTTATAAAATGACGTGGGTCATACTCTGTATAGATTTTTAAAGGAACGGCAATAGATTATCAGGTCACCTAATCAAACAATTGATCCGAAATCTTAAAAGGGCTTTGGCGTTCACGTCCAAACGACTCAATATTTTGAGCTGAAATTTGGAGACAAGGTAAATACACTGTATTTTGGCGCTTCAATTTCATATGGAACTTTTATTACTTAGACTCTGTTAAAATTGGGATGGTCCCTTTAATTTAGGGATATGTTTAATTCATTGATATATTCGAATGGCTGCCATTTTGCATATCATAATCAAATTTTAACAAGTTTGTAATTCCAAGTTTGTGGACACTCTATAGAGGTCACAACTTTTATCCGATTTTGATGGAACTTAAAATTATGTTTATATCCCGAAGATCTCGGTTCCTGTAGATATTCACGCATACCAGACCGTAACTTCCTAGATTATGACCCCTAATTTTACGAAAAATAGCTTTTTTTTTAGAACATGTTCTCGTCCATCTCTTGCAAAATGTGAGCGTATCTTGGATGGCAACTGCTTGTTTACAAGGCATCGCAAATAATTCTCCCCCATACTCCCTTTCATGTTAATAATTGAAATTATTTCGTGCCCCACTGCACTTATCAGAAATCCTGCATACGTCCATATTCCTGAACCAATGGCCCGAGAAATCCCTCTCTGACCATTGCTGGATTGGCTTCTGAAGTTCTGATACTTGAGCTTTTGAGTGAGTGTGTCTATTCTTCCCGTTCAATCAAATCTATCCCAAGTACAGCAACATGACAGCCCTTCGTTTAATCTGGGGTTTTCCCTAAAACTGTGGACAGTGATTTAAGGTATTAAAAACGGTGAAAGTATTGTTCGACTCCAAACTGTATTGTTTACATTGTATTTGTTTTGATAGCCTCGTTTTTCACGGAATTAGTTTGTCTGCAATATTTAGCTATGCACTGGTTAATTGTGCATAATAAAATCGTGAGTCATGACGTACACATGTAAACATATTTGGTCCAATTTGGGGCTCTGTTTAAAGCGTAATGATATTGTTACCCAGTTAGCTATTTTTTTGTTAATCGGACTATTAACTAGTCATAATTTGGAACCGAAATTTTCTTCCTTTATAGCAGTGTTAAGTGGGATTAGTATGGTGGCCCATGGTCGCAATAGCGTTTTTGGGGTTATTTTTTGTATTTCATTTAAAATCATAAAAAATAAAAGTAAAAAAAAAGAAACATTTTTTTTTTCTTTTGTTTTACAAAATAAAAAAAAATCTTTTTAAAATTTAAGAAAAAAAAAATCTTTTTAAATTAAAAAGAAAAAAAAAATCTTTTTAAATTAAAAAGAAAAAAAAATCTTTTTAAAATTTAAGAAAAAAAAAAATCTTTTTAAAATAAAAAAAAATCTATATAAAAAAAATTAATAAAATATTTAAGATTAAAAAAGTCTATAAAAAAAATAACATTTTAATTAAAAAAAAAAAAATAAGTGAAATAGAAAAAATCAAAAAAAGAATTCTGCACGTGGCCCATCGTCGTAATAGTGTCTTGATTATCCAGACTCAGTATAAAATCAGCCTACGACAGCTATCATTAGACTCGAGTGCCCAAAAATACCTCGTGGCCCATTGTTGCTATAGTGTCTCGATTATCCTATGTGGCATAACTCGAGCGACAAGAAACGAGTTTGTAGTTATCTCCCCTTCCGAAAAGAAAAAGGTAAACAGACATCAACACGTGAAGCACAATTTTTCCACCCATGACGTCTATGGACTTGGATATATGTATTTATACATATGCAAGTCAATAGAAATGTATAATTAATAGACTATAGAAGCCTAGCGTCATTTAGACTAGTTTATCCAGTCTAACTAGAACTAGGCCTACATACATAATGACGTTTGAAGTCATTGAGTGACTTTAATGACACCATTCGGCCTACTAGTGCGCAAGGCCTATTCTCCCCTCAAAAGGCTTATGTAATGTTTTTAAAACACTTGGTCTCCCTGAGGTTGAATTTCAAAAGTAGTTAACAACTTTGAAACTAATCCTCGAAGTATAGGCCTACTACTACTAAGTAGCCGGGGGGGGGGGGGGCGAATGGTTAGCACGTGCGCGCCCTATCATAAAGCCTGTCATATCATAAAGCCCGTCATTGAGTCAACTGGCGTGATTTCGAATCCCCGGTTGTACGTGACAAGGAGTAGGGTGACCTGTCAAACATCGTGGGTCTGTCGTTCAGATTATCCTGTGTGGGATCTATGAAGAACGTATGGTATAGACTCGAGCGACAAGAAACGAGTCTTTGATCAAGGCACAAGTAATTTTAACTAAATTCTATTAAAATTAAATTTTAAGTTACAATCGATCTTCGTGAAACGCATAAATTTAAAATTTCACTTTGATTTTAAAATCTATGTGATTTTAGCTTCAGTTTTTGTGAAACCCCTGCTCTCCCTGAGGTCATCGCTAGTCCCCCGCTACGACCACAGGAACGGGTAAGGTGCGAAAGTGCGATGGCGCACAACATCAATTTCAAAGACAAAATAGAGCATGATAGCCTACGTGGACTTCGTCTGGGGCCTGTTTTACTAAGATAAAATTCAAATTTTAGTATTTGATTGGATAATAGATAATATTACATTTATTTTAGTGCTTAGCAAATCAAAATTGAAGTATCTACAATTATGTTGACGTGAGATAACTACAGACTCGTTTCTTGTCGTTCGAGTTTATACGTTCTTCATAGATCCCACACATGATAATCGAGATACTACTGCAACAATGGGCCACAAAATGTTTCTGGTCGCTCTAGTCTAATGATACCTGTATACTGGGTCTGGATACTCAAGACACTATTGCGACGATGGGCCACGTCGGGAATTATTTTTTATCTTTTCTTTTTTTTTTCATTTAATTTTTTTTTAATATTATTTCTTTTTTATTTTTTTTAAAATATATTTTATTATTTTTTTTATATATATATAGATTTTTTTTTTTCATTTTAAAAAGATTTTTTTTTTTTAAATTTTAAAAAGATTTTTTCTTTTTAAATTTTTAAAAAGATTTTTTTTTTTTAAATTTTAAAAAATTTTTTTTTTTTTATTTTGTAAAAAAAAAAAAATGTTTCTTTTTTTTTTTTGTACTAATATTTTTATTATTTTAAATGAAATACCAAAAATAACCCAAAAAAGGCGATTGCGACCATGGGCCACCATAGATTAGGTATAATCAAACGAAGCTGTGCGAGGAGTAATTTAGCTGTCCATTGTTAAATTATTTTCAAAACATTGATTAATTGGTTGTTTACATCTATCACAAATGTACACGTACATGTCATTCTATTGGAGTATTTCAATAAACATTGACACCTTAGCAATAAAATATTGAATTGAACTGTCTCAAAAATATAAAATGACAGGCCCCTTTTTCATTTACGACTGCACAGCTGCGTGTGCTTTTGTATTACTTGGATTGTGCGTTTCAAAGTTAACGTCCGAAGACAGCCAATGATATTTAAAGGATAGATTCTGTCATATATTTGACGTAAGCAATACAATACATTCCCTATAAAAGGTGGAGATTTTGTATCTCTTGTCACAGACTGTTTCAGTTATCCGAAATTTAGATATCTGACGTATATTACAAGATGAAATCTACAGCTGGTATTTTACTGGTAAGATGATTTTATTATTAGTGGGATATATACTGGGGATCCGCGGTAGCTGAGTGATTAATGGGGTTTAACGTCCACTCGACACAAACTAGGTCATTTCGGGACTAACATATGGTTCAATTTTATTTCAATAATTCGCTTGCGCGTAGGGGATCTTTAGCAGTGGGAGGAAACCGGAGGACCCGGAGAAAACACACGATGTTGGACAGGCAACCCCTACTCCTTGTCACGTACAACCGGGGAATCGAAACCATGCCAGTTGACTTATGATACAGCGCGCACGTGTTAACCATTCGGCCATCCAACCCCCGAGTAATTAAGAGGTTGGCTCGGTATTATAAATAATCAAAAATACTTGTTTTTATTAATGTATTTCACTGTATTATAGTTCACGGTGGGTAAGTGGGTAAGACGCTGACTCGCTAGCCTGGGGGTCGGGTGTTCGATCCCTGCATTGGCCGAGAAAGTCCATCCCGATTTTCGGTCGTGGTTCCCCTTGTCAGTGATGCAGGACGGAGGGCCTGACAAGGACAGCTGTCTAGTCGTTCTGATGGAACGAAAAACCGAGGTCCCGTGTACACATTGGCGTGCACGTAAAAGATCCCTCGACAGTTGAAATTCTATATACGAGTAGGCCATAGTGCCGCTGTCCGGACAAAATTTCCCTCATAGCACACTGTATGGCGTATGCCCGTCTTCATTAGCCTAGTTAGGAGCAGAACAGTAGGACGTTAAACCCAATTTCATTTTCATTTCATTTCTGTATTATAGTCAGGGACGTAACTAGCTCAAAGCAACGAGGGGGCGGGAATTGTTCTCAGGGGGTGCTGTAAAACTGACGGACAATGTATATCTAATGTTTTTATGGTCAACAGAGGCGTAGCCGTGAAATATATATTGGGGGGGGGGGTCCGCAACCCTAACCCCTAAACCTAACCCTTTTTTAAAACCCCTAAAAAATATAACAAAGCATTATGGTTACGTCGTTGGCTGAGCGGGCGATAAATATTTGGCTTAGGCGATAATGTTTTTGGGCACCTACATGCGATTATCATGGCAGAAAAAAATTAACAAAATATTACTGACAGGCTAACTATACACAATTTTATGGAACACAGTTACTTTTCACTTCACACATGTTTCCAGGATGATTATCTTTGTGTTTTATTTTAGCAATGTAAACCATATTGGGATATGTACAGGTTTTATACAGATAGAATCTTAACTAATCCTAATAACTGTTGTAAATAAATAGGAGTTAGGGCCTACTATGTATATTCAGACCCCCCCCCCCCCAAAAAAAAAAAACAATTGGGGGGGCTCCTTTAAACAACATTTAAATATGGTCTACCATATGCGTGAATTTGAAATACGTTTTGTCATCCTATCCTTCCCCTCCCTTTTCAGGGATGGACTGAAAATGAGTATGGTAGCTTCGGGGGCCCCCTAAACTATTTTATGTTCTTGTGTAGCCATGAATTTAAATCGTTTTTTGATGAATTGTTAAGATATGCATAAGCTAAAAACACCAGGAAATACTCTAGAAAGCACTATTTACATTCAGGCTTTTCAAAAGAATTTTCGAGTTTGCCCATGGTTGGAGAGAACCCCGTGGCAATTGCAAGACTTTGTCGGGAAATGAACAACCAAAGGCTCCTGAACCTGGCCTCGCGAGGAGTTCCCACTCCATGGGGATCCGTTGTGGTTCTTTCCTCTCCGGCGCGAAATTTCTTTTTTGAACAACTGACTGTAGATTTATGTTTTCTGTAGTATGTGCGCAACCTGAAAACACTCACATAAGACATATTACAAGCCATATCCAACGGAAACAAATGACGAAATTGATTTTTGAGATCAGAACTGAAACCATCGACATCAGCAACCACATAAATGACATGCTACCAAGTCATATCCATCAAGACAAAATGACGGTTAATTTAAAATCCGCCATTTTTGAGTTAATTTTGAAGTGCTGCCATTTTGGTTTTTTGAAATTGATCATTAAATTCAGAGACATCGAAAACTATATAAAATACATAGTAAGGCTCATATTGTTCGATAATTTTCGCTTGTTACATGGAGAAGATACTATTTTATTACGATTAGTTAAAATTCCGCCACTTTGGATTTCATTTTGGTGGCAATTTGGAATTTTTACCATAATGGATTCTCTAAAATCATGTCACAAGTCATATCCAACAGGAATAAACGATGATTAACTTAAAATCCGTCTTTTTGGATTCCATTTTCGCTGTGATTTTGAATTGCTACCAAGATGGGTTTTTGAAATTATCTTTAAATTCAGAAACACCGAAAATCAATTTGTTTTGGGCAAAACGTTATCCCTGCCCGGCTACTATAGGATTTTGTCATAGGGAATGTCCCGGAACCTTACTCAAACATAGTCTAGGGAATGCAAGTGTCCACTACATATAAGAGCATGCCGTGTATCTATTTTCTCAATCTTTTTGTGATTCCTAGTCGCAAATGCATTTCAAATTATCTTCGCAACGATTCTTTTTAAACTTTCAACTTATTGTGATATACATCAGGGACGAAAATGATTTGTGGATACATATCTAGACTATATGATAAAATTTTCCAGCATAGAGTCTTTGATGTAAAAACGAACCACATTGCCGTTTCTGAACCTATAGGAGAACTTAACAACTGGATATATCATAAATAATCCTCAATACCACTAAAACTGTGTACATTGGCGTGCACGTAAAAGATCCCTTGGCAGTTGTAATTCGATATAAGAGTAGGCCATTGTGCCGCTGCCCGGGCAAAATTTCCCTCATAGCACACTATATAACGTATGGCCGTCTTCATTAGCCCTGTAGAAGCAGAACAGTAGAACGTTAAACTACATTTCATTTTATTTCATTGCAAATTGCACGATCATTTTTCAACAAGCATCAGCTGAACAATCCACCCAAGATTTTAACTGCCAAATCTGGCCGAAAAGACGGCTCCATGAAATGGGTTCAAAATTGCTATCTATTTACAGGCAGGTTGGGGGTTGTCATTGGTTTGGAAAATTCAGTTATGGGCAATTCATCGTTAGGGGTAGAGTTAGGATTATCTTTTTACGGTACTCCCGGGAGCAGGCGAGAAAATCCTAGATTACTCCTATACAGTTTTGTTTACATTGTAGGTTTTGTGTGCCGTGATGATCTACGTTGAGGCCGGGGATCCTTGTGCAGTAAGATTTTATTTTGTTTGTTATTGTTCGTAGTGTTTAACGTCCGCTTTCACCGAAGCTGATTTCGCAGACAAGTTGTCTTTTCTGGAGGAAAGCGGAGTACCCGGAATAAACCCACTAGGTTGAGAAAGCGCCCCTATCTCCAAGCCACATACGTTCACATCAGGGATCGAAACCACTACCACAAGCCAGAGGTTACCGACCAGCTAGAGGTCGAAGCGCGACAAATTAGACCCCTAGGCCATACCAATCCCCCTGAATGTTTTGCTTGTTTGTCTTTATTAATTAAACTCTTTTCATTATATTTGTGTTTGGTACATATAGCTATTGTCGGGATTTAAACATATATATTCTGCTTTATGCACGGTACCCACTAGCTCTAGTAGCTAACCCTAACAACACTATGGATCTCATATAGAAGATGACCATCAGCAGAGTTATCATCCTTGGATTTGCAGATCGCTGGCCACAATGAAATAAAACGAATTGAAATGGGGATTAGCCTTCTCCCTTTTTTGGCATCCGTCTTCGGAGTAGCAGGACGTTAGACCCCATTTCATTTTATTTCAGTTTTTTGGCACCAACAGGGATAATGAAGACGGACATACACCATGCGGTGTGCTATGACTCGTGAGGGAATGTTTTGCCGCGGGCAGCAGCGTTACTGCTTACACTTCATCGACTTCCACCTGTCCATGTTTCTTTTACGTGCACGCTAACGTCTACGCAGGTGGCCCCAAGCTTTTCGTACCATCCGAAAGACAAGACCCCGTTTCCTTGCCAAGCATGTCGCCCTTGAACGGATGACATGGCGAAACTAGGTTGGAACATTCAGCATTACTATTTCGGTCACCGCCGGGGGTCGAACACAAAATCTCATAGTTAGTGGGCCGGTGTCATACTCACTATAGTGGCTCCAATTTGAAACATTCACCATGTATGCTATTTGACATCGTCTAGAAGTAGTTATTTTTTTCCCCTTTGCTTTTCAGACTCACAAATGTCCATGTGGACATACATGTCGTCTACAAAAAGTCGACTGCTTTACAACACCTTGTCCTCCAGTACCAACTTGTATCATCGGTAAGTAGCCAACACGAAAACTACCCCCACAACCTAAAATAATTATTTTTACCGTGATATTATTTTTACGAAATTTATGCCAGGCTGAGATTATGCATAACTGTTCGCGCATTTTCAAACCATTTCTTCGCGCATAATCAGACCATTTCTTCGAGCATAATCAGACCATTTCTTCGCGCACTATCAGACCCTTTCTTCGCGCACTATCAGACCATTACGTCGCGCATTATCAGACCATTTCTTCGAGCATTGTTAGGCCATTTCTTCGTCCATTATCAGTGCATTTCCTTACGCATTATCAGACCAGACCATTTCCTTGCGCATTATCAGACCATTTCCTCGTGCATTATCAGACCAAACCATTTCTTAAAGGACAATATTGGTGTGATAGAACTGGTTTTAAACACGGAGATCATTGCTACGATAGATGCGTAATAAAGATTTCAAGAAACAAAAGTGACGAAAGCAAAAGGAGTTATCCTTCTATATATAACTGACTGAACTGACGAGTGATAACAGATACACGAACGAATTTCTGTTCACCAATAATTCCTTCAAAGATAAAAAAGTTTCTATATGAATGGATAAGAGGTGGGGGGGGGGAGAGAGAGAGAGAGAGAGAGAGAGAGAGAGAGAGGGGTAACGTACACTCGACACAAACCAGGTCATTTCGGGACTAACATATGGTTCAATTTTATTTCAACAATTCGCTTGCGCGTAGGGGTCTTTAGCTATGGGAGCAAACCGGAGGAACCGGAGAAAACCCACGAGGTTTGTACAGGCGACCCTACTCCTTGTCACGTACAACCGGGGAATAAGTTGACTCAATGACAGTAATAGCTGTAGAAATATATCTTTATATGCGGCGTCACGGTGGCTAAGTGGGTAAGACGCTAGCTCGCTAGTCTAGAGGTTGCGTGTTCGATCCCTGCATTGGCCGAGAAAGTTCATCGGGATTTTCCGACGTGGTTTCCCCTTGTCAGTGGTGCAAAACGGAGGGCCTGACAAGGATAACTGTCTAGTCCTTCGGATGAAGCGAAAACCGAGGTCCCGTGTATACATTGGAATGCACGTAAAAGATCCCTTGGCAGTTGGAATTCGATATAAGAGTAGGCGATAGTGCCGCTGCCCGGGCAAAATTTCCCTCATAGTACACTGTATGGCGTATGCCCGTCTTCATTAGCACAGTATAGGAGCAGAACAGTAGGACGTTAAACCCCATTTCATTTCATTACATATCTTTATATATTCTCAAGTCCAGCATGATGATTCTCTCCGCCGACTGGGCTAATGAAGACGAGCATACGCCATAAGAGTCCTATTCCTATTTCGAATTCCAACTGTCATGGGGTCTTTTACATGCACGCCAATCTTTAATGTGGTGTACATGGGACCTCTTTTTTTCTGTCCAACCCGAACGAGTAGATACTGTACCACTGACAAGTGGATTTTGTCTAAGCCAACACCGGGAGCGAAACCGAGACCTATTTAGCGAGCCAGACCTTATACCTACTGAGCCATCACGACTATCTTTTTATCCCAGTGAGATAGTAGTTAAACGGGCATGGCTCTATTTTTTTGAACATTTAAATAGACAAAAATGGTTCTAAAAGCACATATTAATGTAATCTGAGTGTATGTAAAGTGATTTATATTCTTTTTTTGAGAAAAAAAAGATATTGTAATTTCTAATCAATTATGTTCGTTTACGCCTGCTTAGTGCATTCTACACGGTTTTTTTTTTTTGGTTTTTTTTTAAATTACTATTTTATCGTTTGTGAATCAGCCTTTACTAATTACTTTCACATTGTGTTGTAGGAAAATATGTTTTATTTATTCACAAAATGACACCCGAAACCATAGAGTAGACGTCTCGTGTACTGATTATAAGATGCTAATCTCAGGGGCGGATCCAGAGGGGGGGGGGGGGTCGACCCCCCCCCCCCCCTGCTCGGCTACATAATTTTTTTTGTAAATCAACACTTTTTATGAGAAAGGTTTCTCGGCCGTGTGCTTTATCCTTTATCGTCAGATTTGGGACAGGATGGGCACTCAAAGCACGAGATAATGATATAGACATTATGTGATATCACAATTAATGCTTTGCATCCATGAAATTGAATCACAAAGTCATTGTATTAATTCATAATAAAAATAGACGTCAAACGAGGTGTTGAATTTCTCTGTTTAAAAAGCTCAATGTGTATGTATATACGCAAAAATGACGATAGAGACCAAGCGGGAGGGGGGGGGGAGATACATTGTCTCAGGAACATGACCCCCCCTCCCCTGCAAAAATTCCTGGATCCGCCCCTGAATCTGTCTTACATATTGGATATTAGGACTCTATAGTTTCACGGCAAGATAAAAACATCAATATTTATTGAAACTGATCAATATTGAATTTTAATTTCGAATATTATGGAAAAATTTGAGTTAAGAGGTTTAGCTCCTATAATGAATGAGGATATAAATGGCGATATTTTTTTCTTTTACAGAAGCATGTGTTCAGACTACAAAAGCCTGTAAAGTAAATTATCCTATACTTGATGCGAATAACAAAGAGCTATTTTGTGGACGTGGACCAAACAGAGTTACCTGCCCTGATCATACATCTTGTACAATCCATCAAACAGACCTTTACGCTGTTTGTTGTTATACAGGACCAAAAATTCAAATATATGTAGAAGATGTTAAAGCCTGATTAGAACCGAAAGACAAAAAATCTGAATACACTGTATTACACGTATCACATCTATTATCTGAATAAAACTTATACTATAATAAAAATCTGAATAACACTTATACTATAATAAAAATCTGAATAACACTTATATACTATAATAAAAATCTGAATACATGAATTTGCACTGGTTTCAATCAATAAAATGAAATGAAATGAACGTCCTACTGTTCTACTCCGACTGGGCTAATGAAGACGGACATACGCCATACAGTGTGCTATGAGGGAAATTTTTCCCGGGCAGCGGCACTATGGACTACTCTTATATCAAATTCCAACTGCCAAGGGATCTTTTACGTGCACGCCAATGTATATATGGGACCTCGGTTTTTCGTCCCATCCGAACGACTAGACAGCTGTCCTTGTCAGGCCCTCCGTCCTGCATCACTGACAATGGGGAACCACGCTGGAAAATCTGGATGAACTTTCTCGGCCAATGCAGGGATCGAACACCCGACCTCCAGGCTAGCATGCCAGCAGCTTACCCACTTAGCCACCGTGACCCCCAATACATATGACAATAAGACAACTTGTCTGCGATATCACCTTCGGTGGAAGTGGACGTAAAACACTAAGAACACCTATCAATAATGAGTGAAATAATACTGTTCATGCTCGTTATTATTGCACAGACAACACACCCACTTCTCTATATGAATTCTACTCAAGGTGGCCCACGTAAACTAGCAAATGTGTGCAATAATATTGAAATTGTCTAGTTATTGCACGGTTAAGCTCCACTAAATCTATTAGCGCGAAAACAAGTTGCATATTCAATGAAAAGAACAAAGGAAGATCTACCGTCCATGTTACTGGTTTCAGTGCAAGTGATTGAGAGAGAGAGAGAGAGAGAGAGAGAGATGCAGTTTAAGGTCCTCTCGACACAAACAAATATTATTTTATTTCAATTATGCGCTTGCGCGTAGGGGCCTTTAGCTGTAGGAGAAATCCGGGGAAGGAAACCATTCGCCCCCCCCCCCCCGCGCTCCTCAACCCTGTAAAAGAAAAACAAAATCAAGGTAAAAAAAAAAAGGTCTGCAGGTATATACTGTTACATGGATGACGCAACGTCACCCTTTTGGCTGATTTTCTTAACCTCCAAAGGCTTTGGAAATTGGTCAACATCAGCAGTGGCACCTATTAAATCTATACATATTCTTAACTTGCGTCCTTTATCTGCCGTTATAAGATGTTGTATCTCTGTGTCAGGTCTTTTGACGTGTTCCTTGGTGGGACCACGCATCACTTTACGTCGAAAAGACGTATCTCGCAAAGACGTTTTTCTCCTCGTGGTATTTTGATGATACTGAAACACAACGTTGACAATGTTCGACTGAGTTTGTGGAATATTGGTGTTTTTAGAAGGTGTTTTGGTGGTACTTGCTTTATTGGTACCTGGAAGCCCAGGATCATGGAGTGGGTTATTAATAGAATCATTAATATGGATTGTCGTACAGTGTGATTCAACTTTAGAGAATCTTGGCGATGGTGGATTTGATTCGATTGAATGCCGCGGACTTAAGTAGCTACCATTTCTTCTCACCTCTGCTGGAATGAATTCGAGCAGTTTGAGTCCCTCAGCAGTACCATTGTCTTTATGGGCATACTTCAAAACTGGTATATTCTTCGTGTCTTCACATTGGTGATAGTATCCATAATTGCTTCCATTTTGAATACCGTTTGAAGTAACATATTTTGAGCCGGGTTTATTATAATTTCGGATAAAATCGGTAGTTGAAATGGTGTCATCGTCATCATTTGATATGTCGCGTTGTACTGACGGATGGCAGACCTTTGGCGGCGTTTTTTGAGGATGAGCTGACGAAGAAATCGTTATCATTCCATCAAAATCCCATTCCTGTTGCGTTGTGGATTTAGCTACCTTTGGTGGCGTTATTCGAGGACGAGCCTGTGGTTCTGGGGCTAACTGTTTTTGAGCTGACGAAGAAATCGCTATCATTCCATCATAATCCCCTTCCTGTTGCGCAGTGGATTTGGTCACCCTTGGCGGCGTTATTCGAGGATGACCCTGCGGTTCCGGGGCCAACTGTTTTTGGGCTGACGATGAAATCGTTATCATTCCATCAAAATCCCCTTCCTGTTGCGTTGTGGATTTAGCCAATGTGGCTAAATACGTAGAATTAAAATGGATATTCCGGATTCTGCCTGTTGACCGGAAGTTTAAACCTTTTCGAACCATTACTGGCGATGTTCTTTTGTAAAATTGCGAACTACGACCTTTTGATCTTGAAGAATCAACATGATACTGAAGCTGAATTGGTCGAGGTTTTATTTTTGTGCTAGGTTTGAAATTGTCTGATGATTGTCGCAAAGTTTGATTTAGTGGAGAATGTTTGGAGGATTCTAGACTGGATTGATCATCTGTCGACACTAATGGTGACCCAGGAAACTTGCGTGTATTATCCTCGTTATTTGGCTTCCCCAAGCAGCTTTCATGGTTTTCGCCTCTGGGAGATTTTAGTTCTATAGGTGAATGAATTTGGATATGTTCAATTCTCTTCTCAGGACTTCGTACTGGGGCCTTTAAGCATGGCGAAGAATCGTTCGCCTTCATGGTACCAGGCTTATGTCCCTTGTTTTCCTCTTGATTGTTTATTTTAGTTTGGGTTGTGTAGGTCTTAATTCCAGATATATTCAAAGTTGAGGATTTAATGTTTTTAAATATATTCGTTTTTTCGTTTGATGAAATTTGCTTTTCAACTGCATTTATTGGGTCGCATGCTGGTTTGTTATTAGGAGTTATAGTATTTGACAGTGGTTGTGACGAATCGGCGTTGTGTTCTATAACATTTCCATGATTCCTCGCTTTTTGTATCTCTTCCTTATGATCAGAAACGTTTAAAAAAGGCCCACCATCCTTCTTGAAAGACACCCCTCCTTCTCCGGTGAGTTGATCTTTTGACTGATTATTTATTGTGTTTCCTTTGCTAAACTGGCGCAATAGCGATGCATCCGTGGATGTTAAATCTTCAGTTTGGGTTTGAACCAGATTTTTAAAAGAAGTTATCATTTCTTCGATATCACTAGTTGGTTCATCATCGTCTGTGTTTGATTTATTTGGTGATGATTTACGAGATTGTTGTTGAGATGTACTTCTTTGTGTGTCACTGGTAGTCGGGAGAACCATTATTAGTGAGTTATTAGCGTCTTGTAAACTGGGATCTGGTGCTGGATAAAATTCACAAGGTGTGCTATTTGGTCGTATGCTACACGAGCTAGAAGTGGCATACATGCTCGATGAGGAAGAAAGACTATAATCGTCATAGTAACCACCAGTACTGAGCGCATCTACAGCTGCGTTTCTGATTTGTGTGGGGGATAGAGTTGGTGGGGGCACTGGGTACATCTTGAACATATCTGCATAAAGCTGTCTATCGTCATAGTACCCATCAGTACTGAGTGCATCTGCAGCTGCGTTTCTGATTTGTGTTGGAGATGGACTTGGTGGAGGCACTGAGTACATCTTGAACATATCTGCATAAGGATGGCTATCGCTGAGCTGTAAATTATACTGCTTCCATGGAGGGGTCGGATAATAAACGCCATCTCTTAACATCGACTGGTGATTTATCATCGGAACTGGGTCACCAATGGCATCATCCATCTCAGCATGTCCCTGACAGAAACGTGGGTCAACAGAATGTGCATCATCATAATAATCCTGGTAAAAGGTATGAGCCACAAGATCATCCATGTCCCTTAAAACATCGCCGCCATTTTCTTCTATGTAATCATCGGATAATTCCAAATCTGTGTTTATCTGTTCTGTGTTTGGATAAGAACATGGACCACAATTTGAGGGTTCAATTTCGTGTTCCAAGGTTTGCAGGTGCTCTAAGTCTGTATCATCTATCTGTTGACTATTTATGCTATCTACTGATCTTCCCATCTCATGCAAACATGCTGTTTTATCGTCGGCAAATCCCATCGCCGTTTCCTCTCCCCGAGCCAAATCAACAGAATTATAAGGTAAGGTCGGTTCATTTTGCTTAGAATGTTGTGAGCTAGAAGTCCACTGAATGTCAACATCACATAACCTATCGGCTTTATCGTTCTTTGGTGGATCTTTAGGATCAGGCGAAGTAGACTTATTAGGTATGGTCAATCTATAGGGCTTAGATTGGTGTGAGCTTGAGTTAGATCGACTGTTGACATCGGATATATCAGCCTTCGGTGGACATTTTGGACCAGGCGAAGTAGACCTAGCTACATGAACATAATTATTAGGTATGGTCGATCTATAATGCTTAGATTGGTGTGAGCTTGGGCTAGATGGACTGTAGACATCGGATATATCAGTCTTGGGTGGACATCTTGCACCAGGCGAAGTAGATTTCTTGGTCTTTGAAGCTTCATCTATACGAAGAACATTTGGTGGCTTAGCTATAAAAGGTTTCGTCATTAATCCTAGTTTATGAGATATCTGCTGTCCATCAGCAACACCTTCTCCAACACGGCTACCAGAATCCCTACCAGCTTTATTACTCATCCTGGCGCCTTTATATGAAGCGGAATGAGACGTTCGCTTAGCTTGATGTTGTTTGATCAGATAGGACTTGACCAGATAGGGCGATTTAAAGTGTTCACTTCTAGAACCTTTCTTGACTGAAGATTTGCGAGATGTGGATGAAGCACTTATGGACAGATAAGATTGATCTTGCGAAGACGAACTGTGGACGAATGGGTTTTCTTCCAAAAAAGGTTTCCTTTTCCCGACCCTGCTTCTTCTCAGTGACCGCGGGGGAATCCATAAATCGTTTCCAAATAATGTCAGGTTTGTCCTCTTGACAAACGTTAGTTCAATTTCAATATTTTTTTCCGGTTTCATAGACTTTTTGTTGTATTGTTGACCGTTATTTGGACCTTTGTAGTTTTTGTTGTGTAAGAGCAAGTCTGTTGTCGACTCTGAAGCATTTTTATTGGTCTTGTGAGATTCTGATTGGTCATTCGATTCTCTATCACCCGTATTCAAATTCTGGAAATGAAATGAAAATGAAATGAAATGGGGTTTAACGTACTACTGTTCTGCTCCGAACTGGGCTAATGAAGACGGGAAATTTTGCCCGGACAGCGGCACTATATACGACCTACTCTTATATCGAATTCCAACTGTCACGGGATCTTTTATGTGCACGCCAATTTGTACACGGGACCTCGGTTTTTCGTCCTATCCGAACGACTAGACAGTTGTCCTTGTCAGACCCTACGTCCTGGACCACTGACAAGGGGGGACCACGCCGAAAAGATCTGGATGAACTTTTCGGCCAATGCAGGGATCGAACACTCGACATCCAGGTTAGCGAGCCAGCGTCTAACCCACTTAGCCACCGTGACCCCCTCAAATTCTGAAAAGCAGTTTTAAAAAGAAATACAAGTATTTAAGTAAGCTTACGTTTGTTTGTTTCCGAAGAATTGGAGTTTTTTTTATCCATAGTAATGAGGGAACCTCGGTCGCTCAGTGATTAAGACACTGGCTCGCTAACCAGGTGGTCCCCGGTTCGCTCCCGATGTAGGTCGAGAAGTTCCTAGAGATTTTCCGCCGCGGTTTCCACCTTTTCAGTGGTACAGGACAATGTCTAGTCGTTCGGGTGGGACGGACAATTGAGGTCCCGTGTACACATTGGAGTGCACGTAAAAGAGCCTTGACAGACCTCAAAATAAGAATTTGCCGTAGTGCGGCTGTCCGTCTTCATTAGCTCTGTCGACGCAAAAAAGTAGGCAGATAACCCTATTTCATTTCTCTGATCATCAAATCGCTCTCTACTGTAATTCGCCATAGCCGTATCGTTAGCGTTGGCAGTATTTGGTTGATAGAGGCGCACACTCGGCAAACCTCGGCAGATTCCGTTACTCTACATCTAGCCTCGGTTGTATGACGGTAAGTGATATGTACCTACGCCTATACAATTGCGATGTGGCACCGCGGTTTACTTATTAGGAAAACTTGCCGCTTTTAAAAAGACGTTATCAAAATTGCGTCGTTCGAAGCGTGTGTAGAATTTTCAGTGCAAAGTTGTCCTTGTTTGAAGAAAATCGGATAAACTTGAAAGAAAAACAACTTCAGACTTAAAAATATTTGTATGATAAAACATTCTTAAAAGGCGTCGTTCCAATGGCGGACTTTCAGGGTACTGGAGGCGTAAACAAACTATATTGAACGTAACTCACGTGTGATGACGGCGCCTTGGCGGCCAGCTTCGCCTCTTCATTGATTATATGGGACCAGTCACACGTAGCTAGCAATGACTGTCTCGTTGTGAGTGGTAGAATGCCGACAGTCACCAAGCTGAAATCTGTTAATTGTATCAGATGACTCCCAGACGTCACAAGTTTCAGGTTATCACCTATTAGAATAAAAGAGAGAGAGAGAGGGAGAACTGGGGTTTAACGTCCATTCGACATGTCATTTCGGGACTAACACATGGTTCAATTTGATTTCAATAATACGCTTGCGCGCAGGGATCTTTAGCAGTGGGAGGAAACCGGAGGACCCGGAGAAAACCCACGAGGTTGGACAGGCGACCCTACTCCTTGTCACGTACAACCGGGGAATCGAAACCACGCCAGTTGACTCAATGACAGACCTTATGATACAGCCCGCTCGTGCTAACCATTCGGCCATCCATCCCCACTACAATGAAATATTTGCTATGAAGGGTGAAGGTGTGAGGTATGGAGTACTTTACTTTAGTTAAACTCATACCATTTCGAAGGAGTGTTAGGATGTAAAACCTAATTTTAATTTCAATCTGATTAAAATACTGGGCCCTTATTCACGAAAACTTAAACTAAGTTACAACCAAAATTTTAAGAAATACTGCAACTTCATTGGATATATGCAAATTGATTTTACTGGTCAGCCAATCGAATTGCAGTATTTCTTAAAATTTCGACTGTATCTTAGTTTAAGTTTTCGTGAATAAGGGCCCAGATCTATATTTCGTTGTTTTTTTATACTTTCGATGGCCCTACACAACATGAAGATCTGACCGGTTGTAGTGATAGGTCAGGGGTCATGAGAGAGGCTTTCGAACCTATGACGTCAGATATTTGATTAAGCAGCATTGGTGTTTCTAGTGGATTACCCAGTTTCGCACACCACAAGCCAAACGCTCGCCGTAACAGACCGTTTCATTGGCTAATCCCTCACATCATCCAGAACACGCCAATAATAACAACTAGATCCTAGTGTGGTGCAGACAAGTAAAACGAAATTTTGAACTATACAAAACGAAACGAAATAGGATCTGTGTTTCAATCAGATTGATTTTAAATTGACTTGTACATTACCGCCACTCATTCCACTGGCTTTAATTCGTGTGAGCGTATTCAGCTTAGAGATAGCGGTACCTTCTCAACTGGTTTCTCCGGTTTCCTCCTACAGGACACCCCTGCGCATGCGCTTACAATAATGAAACAAGACAACCTGTTCGCGATATCACAAGCAGACGTTAAACACAACGAACAACACCAATAATCCATCCAACAGACCCAACAGTCGCCTATTTATCCTAATGGAGCTAATATAACAAGTGACCTACTTTGACCATTTCGGTACGTCCAGTAGTTGAAAGCAGCAGCTTGGCTCGCTGTACAGTTTATCAGTGAGGCATAGTTTAAAGACTGGGTCAATTGGTTAGTGACCAGGTAGAAGAGGGCGTTGTAGGACTGAGGAAAGACACGAGTTAGCACTGAGCAGGGAACAAGGAGATCTGGATTCTTAGGCTCTATTAAGCCCGGGAACTCTTTATCATCATCATCTACTTCTGGACCTAAACTGGAAATGAAATGAAATGAGGTTTAACGTCCTACTCTTTTGGGGCCTGTTTCACGAAATTTAAACAAAGATAAAATCCAAATTTTAGTAATTTGATTGGATAATATTAGATTGATTTTAGTGCTTAGCTAATCAAAATTGAAATATCTACTAAAATTTGGATTTTATCTTTAGTTAAGATTTCGAGAAACAGGGCCCAGCCCCGACTGGGCTAATGAAAACGGGCATACGCCATACAGTGTGCTATGAGAGAAATTTTGCCCGAAAAGCGGTGCTACGGCCTACTCTTATATCGAATTCCAACTGCCAAGAAATCCTTTACGTGCACGGCAATGTGTAGATGGGACTACGGTTTTTCGTCCGATCCGAAGGACTAGACAGTTGTCCTTGTTAGGCTCTCCGTCCTGCACCACTGACAAGGGGAATCCACGCCAGAAAAACCCGATGAACTTTCTCTGCCAACACCGGGAGCGAACCCGCGACCTCCATGCTATCGAGCCAGCGTCTTACTCACTTAGCCACCGTGATTCCACCTAAACTGGGAGAGAGGGGCCAACTTGTAGAGAAGAATTAACCGTTTCTAGACAAAACCAGATAACGAATTGCAAATTTTTTAAACCACTTCAAGCACAATATTGGTGTCAGCCATTATTAAATATGTGACAGTACTGGTTTTAAAACACAGTCCAAATATAATTTTAACATAGTGATCATTGCTACGATAGATGTAGTGACGTCCAATTCTTTTCATCTACAGCGGAATTATCAGTGAAATGAAATTCGCGAGTGTGTCTGTTATAATCGCTCGTTACTTCAGTCAGTTAACTCGTGTTCGTCATTTTTGTCGTCACTTCCCGTTTCTTCAAAAATGAAATGAAATGGAGTTTAACGTCCTACTGTTCTGCTCCTAACCTGGGCTAATGAAGACGGGCATACGCCATACAGTATGCTATGAGGGAAATTTTGCCCGGACAGCGGCACTACGGCCTACTCTTATATCGAATTCCAACTGCCAAGGGATCTTTTACGTGCACGCCAATGTGTACACGGGACCTCGGTTTTTCGTCTCATCCGAACGACTAGACAGCTTTCCTTTTTAGCCCCTCCGTCCTGCATCACTGACAAGGGAGAACCACGCCGGAAAATCTGAATGAACTTTCTCGGCTAATGCAGGGATCGAACACCCGACCTCCAGGCTAGCGAGCTAGCGTCTTACCCACTTAGCCACGTGATCCCCCCGTTTCTTCAAGTGTTTGTTACACACCTACCGTAGCAATGATCTCTGTGTTAAAATTATATTTGGAATGTGTTTAACCAGTTATCTAATAATATCTAATAATGGCTGTCACCAATATTGTCCTTAAAGAGGTTTAAAAAATTTGCAATTTGTTATCTGGTTTCGTCAAGAAACGGTTAATTCTTCTCTACAATTTGGCATCTCTCTTCCAGTTTAGGTGGAACCACGATGGCTAAGTGAGTAAGACGCTGACCCGATAGCCTGGGGTTCGCTCCCGGTGTTGGCAGAGAAAGTTCATCGTGTTTTTCCGGCGTGGATTCTCATTGTCAGTGGTGCGTCTACTCGTTCGGATGGGACGAAAACCCGATTTGCGCTGATCAAGCTGTGTCTTTGATAATTTAGCAGTTGATAAAAACAGAAGAAATTGGAACCCTTTTGGTAAATATGTAAATTCTTTAAAATATAACTTAAAATCAATTCTCACACATTGTTAGCATTGTTTAGTTGAACCCGTATGCTATATTACAACATATGCCACGCTTACCTGGAAACTGAATGTGTCTTTGAATATTGTGTGGTGTGATGCTGCTGGAGATGCAGAGATGGCAATCGTATCGAATCTATATATAATAATCAATAATAAAATGAAATGAAATGGGGTTTAGCGTCCTACTGTTTTGCTCCGAACTGGGCTAATGAAGACTGGCATATGCCATACAGTGTGCTATGAGGAAAATTTTGCCCGGACAGCGGCACTACA